TCGTTTAACCACAGGTCGTTCCACCACTGCATTGTAACCAGGTTTCCAAACCACTGGGTAACACATGTGACTGATTAGCCATCAATTACATCATTCAGTAGTCAAATATCTTTGTATAATGAAGTTAATGAAGTGTATAATGAAGCTATATATCTCTTTTTGTTTCATTTATCCAATATCACCTATCTTGTAACACTTTACAATAAGGTTTTATTTGCTAATATTAACAACATGAACAATACTTCAACAAGATTTATTACGTTAATCTCAACATTTACTAATACATTTTTAAAATCTGTTATTATTAGCTAATGTATTGTTAACATTTGAATTACCTTACATTAAGATAAATGCTGTAAGAATATATTTCTCATTGCTAGATCTCGAGGGCTTGGAGCTAGAGGGGCGTAAGTGGCATTTTGGGCGAATATGAGTTCTTAATATCAAAATAAAGGTCTCGATGAGCTCTATCCAAAAATACCTATCTGAGATCAAGCTGTATTGAATAAAGCAACAAAAAGGCATATTTGACTTATTTTACTTTTTTGAAAATGTTTTAGAACATGTTCATTGTGTTAATATGCCATAATTTTTTTACTTAAATACTCGTTTCATGTAAGTATGCCTGTGGTTGCAATGTTTGTGGTTTAAGGTTAATAATACAGGTGATTGTAGCGTGGTCAAAAATTTGTTTTGTCTCTCCTGTAAAGTTCGTTAAAAGCCACTTACGCCCTTCTGGCTCCAAGCCCTCGATCTTGTAATTTAATACATTAATGTTAACAAATGAAAGTATTGTGAAGTGTTCCCACATATTTCTTCTCCTCGCATAATAAAAAAATCTATATTTATGTATTTATTTGTTAAGTAGTCATGCAATAAGCAGGATAATGGAGTCATATAGGCATCGACAAAATATATGTTGTGAAAGAGGCCGACTAGCTGTGTGTGATCTCTTACTTAGATTGAATTAGTAACAGAAATATCAACCTGATGGGCTAGTTCATGGGCGATGACTTTGGTGATGCCCAGTTTGTCAGAGGAAGAGGATTTCTCAGGGTCAAAGAGCAAACCGGACTCTCTGTACGTCGACAGACCCCAATTCTCCATTGCACCGGACTGGAAATCTGGGATGGCAGCAAGATCTACAAATAAAAGATAATTATAGCCCTATAAGTCCTAAAAAGCACAGCTTTGCATTATTTGATGCCAGATTGCACACTAAAGTATGCATGCCATTTTCACACTCACCGTGTTTGGGAAGTGGATACGGGATGTCAAAATAATCATCATAAAAGTCTAGCAGTGTGACGGCGGTGTTCAGAGCATATTCCGCTTGACTGATCTTCTCAGGAACCGTATACACGGATATCTACATCGGGATTCAGGTTATGAGGAGTGAAACCACAGTATTATTCTGGTCTGGGTGTATTGTAAAGTGCATTTATAAGGCTTTTGGCAATATTATCGACTTGCCTCAACTCCATGCTGACTCTTTTTACTGATGGAGTGGAAATCACAGACGATGAAGGCCACCAGGTAGGTGCTCATCTTCACCGTCGTGTCGAAACGATCCTCCAGCAGCCCGTCAGCCAGCTCTACAGTTCTCAGCTATTGGATGAAATAATCTTTCATTAGTTTACTTTACATGAAACGGTCTGAAAAAGAAATGACTGATCAGAGTGTGCAATTTATAAATTGACATCCAAAGTTGTGAATTTAACTTTGGAATATCGCATAACATTAGCATTTCCATCCCATGTGTTCAAGAGAACAAAATCGCCACTTTCTGGGAAATTGGTATCTGGTAAAATTGGAAGTTGCGGCAAAATCGGGGAAGAAACTGGGGCTCTTTTATCCTGCATCATGTGAGGCGCTTTTTTCGAAGGGGATCATCCTTGTAAGTGTCAAGTGTCGTCATCCTTCGAATCCCAGTCAAGTATGAAATCTGGTGCCGTGACCCGGATGGGAGCGAGGTTTGCGGGTAGGAACCCGAGCCCAAAAAGAACTACAAAATTCGACTGCTTTACGGCATACATCACTTCCCCCACTTCCTCAAATTCCGACGCGAGAGCCCAACGAGCGTTTTTTTTTTTTTTTTACCTCTGTATGTTGTCATGGCTGAAGCAGCAAGTAAAACCAAATGTGAAGTGCTTCAGAAACCGTCGCTCTATCAAATGTAGACTAAATTGCTTTCTTTTGAGGGCGCTTAACACACTCAAGCATCCCCATAGAGCCGTGGCGGGCAGCTCACGCCAGCTCGATACGTGAAAGTATACTGATTACTGAGTTTGGTAGGGGCTACATTCTTGCAAGTAAATAATACATGATTAGACGGACAAATGACTAACAGGATAACTATCCTATGTCTGTAGGCTGATAGCCATGTTTGTTATTTAGTTTTCTGGTGAAAGTGTCTTGCCTCAGGCTGTAATGCAAATCGATTTTTCAAATTTGCAGATTCATCTATGGTAGCTTGATATTATAATATTGACAACATGGCTGTTATCTACCAACAACCATTGAATAATTGAATTAGCATATCCATTATGTAAAACAGTAGCCAATACGCTAACGTTACTATGAAGACGTTGGCTTGTAAACGTGAGCTACGCGATCTTTTGACATTTGAAAAAAAATAATATGCCAATGTACCTGGGATAAAGACATTTCACACGCAACACTGGAGTCTGCCCAAGATATGAGAACTCCTTCCTTCTGCAGAGTTCGGGGGTTTCGCTTGTCAACAAATGCACGCGTGTATTCCCTAGTGTAACCATGACAGATTTTACGACAGTAGTAGAAGACAATACTGTTTCCCAGCTGTAGGGGGACCCCGAGAGCAAAATTTCAAAAATAACATAATGCTGCTTTAATATGTTTTAGCAGCCTTGAGAAGCTAGTGTTATACTTTCTGCGTCCGTGAGGGCTCGTAAAAATCGTTATTGGAGGGTATAGGTGGAGGCTCTTTGCGGACATCCGCGTGCCACCCATTTTTTTGTGAGCATGCGTCACTAGGCTGCAAAGGCACCAACTGCGCAGAACTGTGCAGAATATGTCCGCAGAGCGGACCCTAGCATTCACTTTTTAGTAGTATAAATACAAGTAGTCCGTGTCTGTGCTGTCCACAGCTGTCTGTGTACGCGTCCGAACTGGAGTATAACCAAAGCCGATAACCGAAGCCAGAGACGCCGGTTCAAATCCCGCTCGGAGCAGGTCAAATAGGACCGGTTAAATTGGGTGCCATTGACCTGGATAGGAGTGATATTTAGGGGAGTGAGTGTAAGGGACATAGGCCAGTAAGAGCTGTTTGTGTAAACCTCACTCCCCTGGCCTCAAGAGGTGCGCTAACACTGGCGGTTTAAATCCCGTTAGGAGCGGGTCGATTAGGACCAGATACATAGGCTTCGACTGTTTGAGCACAATAAGTGCTTTTCCACACTTCTTCTGTTGAACATATTTACAATACTGTTTATAAAATTAATTTATTTTTAATGTGTGAAAACTATTATACCCATTTTTTTTCTTGGTTTTTCATTGTGATTTTGGTGAATTACATTGAATCCAAAGTGACCTGCACCATAAAGGTCATACCCAGATTTAATACAAGGTTTAGATATGTGTACCTTGGGCATGTTGGATATGGAAATGTGCCTCGGTTCTCGGTGCACGCGGATGGTAAAGTTGGCTTTGAACGCAGGTTCATCAAAACAAGGGAAGGCGGCTCGAGCATGTGTCGCCTCAAACTGAGTGGACGCCAACATCCTGTAGGGAAAAAATAAGAATTTTGAGGGCGGTTTACTCAAACCATCAATTAGTCAAAAAAGCACTAATGTCGTGGTTCCCATACCTGACCTCACCACTATTCGTGGTGTATCTGCCTTTATAAAAGCCATGAAAACTGTCTGATAAGTTGGCATAGAACTCCAAATAGACCAAATGGTTTCCTTTCTCAAATGTGAAGCCATCAGCGAAGAGTGCAATCTGTTCATTGGCTTCAAACTCACTGGTTTGAAGATCTCGATGATGTCTGGACTCTAAAAGCTGTGCTTTAGAGATCTGAAGGTTCTTGCTGTGGAGGATGATGGCTCTGGTGTCCTGTTCTACCTCTATGAGGATCTGGACAACACCAGTGTAGGTCAGCGAGGTCAGGTTGGGGTGTATCAGGAGCTCATAGTGCTGGGGTTTCACTGTTTCTGGCAACCTCATCTTGTCCCAGGGAAAAGGCAACACATTTGTGTCCGTGTTGACAGTCATTCCATGGTTGCCAGTTAAAAAAACACATAATAAAATGGCAAATATAAGGCAGTTTAAACCACAAGACTGGGAGAAGAGCATGATTAAAAACAGAAATGTAAGGTCAGCTTTCTATGCGCGTCAATTTGGTTATCAATAACACACATGAGCCCTGCTTACGAACTTTAGACGTCACAAACAAAGAAAAACACAAATGATAAAATGTAGCTAATTTACATAAGAATTCAATGGACAAAAAAGAACGAACCTACGCGCGAAAACCCATACGTAACTGAAAGTGAAACTACGCAGCTGTTAATCACACTATCTAATTTCCTGACGTGAAAACGTCTCCATTTTGCGCTCAGATTCTAATATTACATGCTGGAGCGTATAACACACCATATTACGGTTTATATAACTAAAAAAAACGTATCTATGTGCTAACTTTGAGAGCAGCAGTGAACGCTCTCATGAATATTAATTACGGTAAAGGTCAGGGACACGTGATTCGACGCTTCAGGAAGTACATCAAGCTACGTCATCATGACTACTAAATTATTCATGATATAAGCCTTCTTCAGCTTCAAGTTGGGAAGAAATAGCGGCCTCTGTAGCAGTGGGTCAAAAACACACCATCAAACCAAAAAAATAAACGTTTCCAATTACAGGTTACAGACACACTGATAAAATAAAAATGATTGAGCTAAGAGTATTTTTTGCATGTTATGACTGCTTATCAAAATAGAATAACAAATACATAATGATTTGATGAACTTACATTTATTGGCCAACTTCATCACTAAACAAAATGTGGTTATTTTTTGTGAATTAAAAAATAGACAAAACAAAAAGAAAATAATATATACATGTATATTACACATCTTGTGATTTGTTTTTAGTTTTACTCAGTCAGTCCATTATGACACTTAATTCTCTTTATCCACATCTTGCAATGCAATTGTATAGAAACAGGTCATTAGAAAATATAAAGTGGTCCCTGAGAAAAAGACAAAAATATTTTTCTCCAATTAAATCCAAAACAAGTCGACATTTTACTGTTTGCAAACCTTCCGAAATTGTTTCAGACTTTAGTTGAATTAAAACATATTTATTTTCACAATTGTTCATCACAGTAGATTAACAAATAGAGTTGGGTTGAGTTAGATCCAAACTACTTTAATCGCAAGGGGAGAATAATTGGACTTTCACTATATTTTTTTAGTCTAGACTAAACACTAGACGGACCTCATACGAACACTGAAGAATAATTATGTGGGTGGATGGTTTCAAACAGTAAGTTTCAGTACACAATGACAAGTGTGAAATGCAATAAAATCCAATTTGTCCAAAAATAATAATAATTTGTCCAAAAAAAACATTGTTTCATGCTTCTTTTCAACCTTTCTTTTCTTAAGTTAAAATCAATATTACATATCTGTATCTCTGTTTATGAGATTGTCAGTTTTATGGAAGGATCATACTTTCATAGCTGCCAGAATTCACTAAAAAAAATAAAATTAAATAAAACTAAATAAATAAACCACGTTTCCTTTCCAAATTAAGCATATTACATTCTAAAAGAAACCAGCAAAACTTTCATTTTTATTAATAAAATCCTTTACAAACGTGTATGTGTATGATAAAACATCCATTTTCCCAAAAAAAACAAAAAAACATTTTTCTAAAGCAAAGAAACAGACTAAATTTTCTTTTCTTCTCCTCAGTCTGAACACTATTGATGGGGCTCTACACCTTCTCATCCTTTCCTGCATTCGCAGTTGTAAGGGCCGTCGTCTAAACAATAAAAACAAAGTATATTCATTTAAATCTGTCAAATTATAAAGTCTAAAATGCATATAAAGCACTGGAACACTAAAGCACGTCACCTGTTCGACCATCCTCTGCATCTTCTCAATGACAGAGATCATTTGACCGCTGTTTTCTCTCAAACTCTTCTCGTACGTTTTGTTGAGCGTCTCGGCTTTCTCCAGTTTCTGCTTGAGCTCTTTCTGTTGGCTCTGCTCCTGTTCATTAGAGGCCTGTCTCGCTTCTGCTGCTTCTGAATCACAAACACAGTGAACCACACCAAAGAAGTCACATTTAAAGCTTGAGCATGAACATGATGGCAAAAATAAAGCATTACACCACGAGAGGTTTACAGGAGAGTTCACTTTTAAAAAAACTTTTGCTGATAATTTACTCACCCCCATGTCATCCAAGATGTCCATGTCTTTCTTTCTTCAGTCGAAAAGAAATTAAGGTTTTTGATGAAAACATTCCAGGATTTTTCTCCATATAATGGACTTCAATGGGGTCCAAACGGTTCAAGGTCCAAATGAGAGTTTCAGTGCAGCTTCAAAGGTCTTTAAATGATTCCAGACGATGAATAAGGGTCTTATCAAGCGAAACGATCGCTCATTTAATAAATAAATAACAAAGTTTAAGTTTTCTTGCTCTGTTCTGTGTTGCACGTTCATGACTCTCCTGTTCGAACTCGTTCATCAAAATGAACGAATCTTTTTCTGAGGGATTTGGTTAATTCAACGAACGAAACGAACAAATTGACTCGGAAAAAGATTAGTTCATTTTTCTGAGAGATTCAGTTCAGCTTCAAAGGGCTTTAAAAGACACCAGACGATGAATAAGGGTCTTATCTAACAAAACGTTCAATGAACGAAATGACTCGAAAAAACATTTGTTCATTTTGATGAACGAGTTCAAACAGGAGAGTCACGAACGCGCATCACAGAACAGAGCAAGACGAGCATTTGAGCTTATAAAACTTAAACTTTTTTATTTATTTTTTAAATGAGCGATCGTTTTGCTAGATAAGACCCTTATTCATCATCTGGAATCGTTTAAAGCCCTTTCAACAGTTTGCAGTTTGCACTGAAACTGTCTTTTGGACCTTGAACCGTTTGGTTCCCATTAAAGTCCATTATATGGAGAAAAATCCTGGAATGTTTTCATCAAAAACCTTAATTTCTTTTCAACTGAAGAAAGAAAGACGAGGACATCTTGGATGATATGGGGGTGAGTAAATTATCAGCAAAAGTTTTTTTAAAGGGAACTACTCCTTTAAGAATCAATATCGGTTCTTCAAAATTAGAATCAATATAAAAATGGAGAAATTGCTATTTTTAAGGCAGCCCTGATTACGGTCTCACCGAGTCTGGATTGCAGCGTGGCGACGCACTTCTCCAGTTCGCGCTGGGCTGTTTTGCTGCTCTCCAGCGACTGCAGCAGGTTCGGCAGGTTAATGACGTTCCCTCTGTAGTTCAGCACATCTGTGGCGTTTGAGCGACGGGTCGACCCTCGCTCTTTGCACGGCTGTCCCGGCAACATCGCTTTATTCCCTGAGAGGAACATGCAACGACATTTTTAGAAAGCTCTGGACAAATGTGTTTTCATGCATTACCAGATTGCGTAAAAGCACACACACCTTCAGCGCTGATGCTGTCGTCGGTCTGATCACTGTCTGACCAGCGACCGCACAGATTCCTGTAGAGACAAAGCCCACCGACCGCAGCCTTCCTCACCAGATCCTGCGCCTGAGGAGAGATGGGAAAGCACTCTTCAGAGATAACGTTTTTTACTTATGATCAAACAATGAAAGTCGGTACACTGCAAAAAAAAAAAAAAAACATATGTTAATTAAAATACTTCAGATGCACAATGACTTAAGACTTGTTTTCTGAAAAATAAATAAACTAATTAACATTTTTACTTAGCGCAAACCCTCTGATTTTTAGGGCTGTCAAATTAATGGCATCCAAAATAAAAGTTTGTGTTTACATAATATATGTGGGTGTACTGTGTATAATTATATATATATATATATATACACATATACTCTACCAATCAAAATTTTTAGATCAGTAAGATTTTTTATGTTTTTAAATGAAGTCTCTTCTGCTCTCAGGCTGCTTTATTTGATGAAAAATAAAATGACAAACAGTATTATTGTGAAATATTATGACAATTTAAAATGACTGTTTTCTTTTTTAATATATTTTAAAATGTAATTTGAAAGCTGAATTTTCAACATCATTACTGTTGCTGATTACACATCAGTTTTCAGTGTCACATGATCCTTCAGAAATCATTCTAATATGCTGATTTTATGCTCAAACAACATAAATTATTATTTTCAATGTTGAAAACAGTCGTGTACTATTTCCCCCCCTAAAATTCTATGATGAATAGAAAGTTCAAAACAACAGCATTTATTTAAAATATAATGATGCTGTAAATTCAGCTTTGATCACAGGAATAAATTACACTTCACTCTATATTCACATAGAAAACCGCTGTTTTAAATTGTAATAATATTTCACAATACAGTACTGGTTTTTTTATCAAATAATTGCAGCCTTGATGAGCAGAAGAGACTTCTTTTAAAAACATAAAAAATCTTACCGATCTAAAACTTTTGAACTTTTGACACACACGCATGTATTTTTAAGAAAAATATGTTATTTATATATATTTATATTTATATATAAATCTATATACAGTACATGAAAATATTTCTTAAATATATAAGAAATAGCATGTGTGTATTTACATATACAAAATAATTATACACAGTGCACCCACATATATTATGTAAACACAAACTTTTATTTTGGATGCGATTAATCGTTTGACAGCCCTATTGATTTTACAAAACTACTTAAAACGTTATTCGTTTTTCTTTCAGACACAAACTTTGTGGCTGGAGAGTATTTAAAGCAGTCGTGTAAAGTGATTAACATAAGTTTGTGTTAGTCAATTCAGTGATATTTTCAGCATTATTACTGCCCAAAAGAAAGCATGTCGTAACCCATTTTTAAGAATTGTAGTAATACAAATGATTATTTTTTATTATTATTACTTTTAATAATAATAATTTAGTTTTTATATTAATTTAATTGTATTATTTTTATTAATATAATTACTTGATATTAATATAGCCTACATCAATATAATTAATATACTTATACAATTATTATATTGTAATATTTTTAGTTTACCATTTTAATAAAGAATTCATATAAGAATTTAACAAATCAATAAATATACTAATATTGCAATAATATCATTTCACAGTAGAATAAAAAAAACAACAAGTATTTAATAATAAAAAAATACTTTTTAAAGAACAGAAAAATTACAATACTAACATGTATGTATATTTCTTTGACTTCAAATGTTAAATGCCTTTTATTCAGAGGAAATCAAACCTGAGCAGGGCTGAGGAACAGGCCGAGAGACAGCAGGATGTTGATCAGATCTGCTTCTCGAAGACTTCCTGTCAGGTGCCGGTCAAAGAACACCCAGGACAGAAGCACCTTACGAGGGATCTCAGCGGTCCAGCCCTGAGGACAGTCCTTCAACACACAGAAACAGATGTAAGAGGAGAAACACCAGACGTGGCTCGGATCCGAGCGCAAACGTGAGCTCTTACCCCGTCTCTGGGCGTCTGATTGTCTGAGGCGCTGCTGCTCTGCCCGTCTCCCCCTGCGCTCGCGGGTTTACTCTCTTTTACAGGCTCACATTGTTTTTCAGCCGGTTCGCTCTCATCCATCAGAATGACGTCATCTGCGTCCAGCTCCTCATCCTTCACTTTGAGCTTTTTCTTCTTCGTATCGATCGGTCCTTTCTTTTTAGCCGGTTGTTTGACGGATGTTTTGGGCTCATCCTCCTTAAAAGAGTTAAAAAAGTTACTGCATTTTCTTGCTCTATTTACATAAACTGTTGATGTTCTGCATACAGCAGTGGCCAAACGTGATGTGCGGACGGGATACTTGTTTTTAATGACCCTACAAGTTTAATTACATTTTCATATTTTAACTGAGGCAGGAACTTGGTAAAGGTATTTATCTCAGGGTACGTACAAATACTGCAAAATGAAATTCGAACACTTTTCAAGCACTACTTTTTTGGTTTTCAAGACTACAATCAGAGATCTCACTTATCAAAAAGGTAAATGAATAAGTAAAAAAGGCAAAGAAATGATACTATGACAAAAACATTGCTTTTCTCATTCAAACTGTTTTTTTTCTCCTATGTATATATGATTGACCTGAAGAATGTCATATACTTGAATATTTATGTGAAGCAATACGACACTCATGGCTCTATATCAATATCAGACAGGTGAAAACAGATTGTTTTATCAAAAAAATAAACACTATTTTCTAATATAGCCTATAGTCTATAAATAGTTCAGGTACCTTTTCATAAATATGGCAGATTTCTAGGGTTTTCAAAGAATTAAATTTCCAAAAGTCAAATTCAAGTACTTCAAGCACCCTGTTATCTGACAAAATTATTTAGCAAAAAAAAAAAAAAAAAAAAACTGACAGTCAAAGAGATATTCATTTGTGTTTTGAAGAACAAAAGTCTTACGGGTTTGGAACGACATGAGGGTGAGGAATTAATGACAGTTTTCATTTTAGGGTGAATTAACTTAATGTACTAAAATAAAAATGAATAAAAACATTTTTTTTTTAAATCTAATAAAAAAACACAACAAAAACTAATCTAAATCTAAAAATATAAACTAATTCAAAATATGAATAAAAACTGTTAAAGCTACACTGTGTGATTTTTACCCCCATCTAGCGGTGAAAAGGTATATGACCATCCAGTGAATATTAGTTTCTGTTCCTCTCAATTCCGATTTCGTTTTAACTCCTACGGTGGCCAATGTAGTCCAACATGGCTTCCAGTTCGACCTCGTCCATGAGTGTTAACTCAAACGTAAACGGGAAAGGCGAAGCTTGAATTAACGGGTATGTCCCTCTTTGGCTGATGTACTTTCAAGATGGAGGGTCAACATGGCGACCGACATTAGAACCCCTTACCCGTATGTATTTTCAATGACATATTATACACTCACGAGAATACTTTATTACTTGAACAAACTAAATATACATTAATGAGCACATAGATTTTTGAAAGAACTAAATGTTTTTAGCTAAGAATAAACTAAAAGAGTTACACAGTGTAGCTTTAAAGTATGGCAGTGGCACTGAAATAACTCTGGCTTGAGGTCTAGTGTACCGTGCTGTTTTCGTCTTTGACGCCGGTCTGCGGGACACTGGGATCCTGAGGCAGACGGCAGAGACACTGATACAGCTGAAGCCCAAAGTCCCTCTGGAGCATCTCGCTGAACATCTCCGCCATCAAGCTGACCTGATACCAGAACATGAGACACAGAAGCTCAGAGAACTACATCATGTCTGAGCCAGTTTGCTACACATACTATTAATGGTTTCAAAATGTGCTGCATCTAACATCTGTAAGCACACACACACACCTCACAGCTGTCTCGTGTCTGAACGCTCTGAGGCTCCAGCATTGACGACAGAGACACGACGGACAGATTCAGTCCATCGGAGGGGTGAAAAACTAGAGACGGACCTTCGGACAGCAACAAATCATCCTGGAAGGCAGGAAAGAAAAGCTTGAAGACACCTCTGATTGGATTTTTAAGTATATTTCTTATGGATATAATGTTTATAAACTCACCAGCTGTTTTTGTTGCAGTTTTTCCCAGTCTTCTTCTGCTGGCTCTAGATTCCACACATCTGGTAACAACACCACAACGGTCTCCATTTTATCTCCTGATAGATATCTCAGCTCCGCCATCTTGTACCTTTGGAGAGGGAGAAAGACATTTAGAGGATTTAAAGCGATAGTTCACTTTGAAATTAATTTTTGGTGTGTTTTAGCTTACCTCAAGGGCATCCAAGATGTAGGTGTCTTTGTTTCTGCAGTATTTTCAATATTGATATTTTTAGGTCAGTCATATAATGGAGGTCTATGGTCACCACCTCAAAGAGCATGCACAGAGAAGACCAAATTAAACATGATTTAATGACTCGTAAATGTAAGTGCACATTGATGGCCTAAGACACGAAACGAGCGGTTTGTGTGAGAAAACCAACAGTATTTATATCGTTATATCGTAGCCACAAAGCGCCCACGCCCTCAGATCACTTGGACGTGGCTGTGGTTACAAGAGGTAAAAACGCTATAAATACTGTTGGTTTTCTCACACAAACCGCTCGTTTCGTGTCTTAGTCCATCAATGTGTACTTACATTTACGAGTCATTAAATCACGTTTAATTTGGACTTCTCTGTGTGTGCTCTTTGAGGTGGTGACCATAGACCTCCATTATATGACTGACAGACAAGAACGGTTTGACCTAAAAATATCAAAATTGAAAATACTGTGGAAACAAAGACACCTACATCATGGATGCCCTTGAGGTAAGCTAAAACACACCAAAAATTTATTTCAAAGTGAACTATCCCTTTAAGGGAAATGAGCACATTCATAAGGTGAAATATCTTTCATTTACATAGTGAAAACATTTATCTAAAATAAACTTTAAAAGAAAACATACACTGCTGTTTGAAAATTTGGAGTCGGTAATGTTTTAGAAAAACGTCTCTTCTGTTCACCAAATTTGGATTATTTGATAACCTATATTTAAGCTCTAATTGATTCCTGTGATCAAAGCTGAATGTTCAGCATCATTACTCCAGTCTTCAGTGTCACATGATCCTTCAGAAATCACTTTAATATGACGATTGGCTGCTCAAGAAACATTTATGATTGGTAAAAACAGTTGTGCTGCTCCATATATTTGTGTAAATGTTGTACATTTGTTTAGTAATAGTATTCTTTCATTATTCAGTATTATTATTATCAATGTTGAAAACAGTTGTGCTGCTAAAATTTTGGTGAAAAACCATGATCCTTTTTTTCAGGATTCTTTGTTGAATAAAAAGTTTAAAAGAACAGTATTTATATGAAAAATAATCTTTTGTAACGTTAAAAATGTATTTACTGCCACTCATCTCCCTTGCTGAATAAAAGTATTAATTTCTTTGAGAAAAAATGAATAAAAACTTCAGAAATGTCATTTTTTTAAAGGAATTTCCTACATACGAAACCTCAGAGACTTACAAATGCATAGCTGAAGCAAAGTAAAACTCAAGACACTTTGGCAGGACTCTAGTCTAGTGCAACATAACTGGATTAAAGTGAAATATACAGACCACTGCGTGCAGGCTGAGAGATCTACAGAGGTTTGCTCCTTTATGCAGCGGACCGCAGTGTTGACCAGCGTCGCGCTGTCCTTTACTGGGTTCGCTCCGTCAGCTTCGGGTGACCAGAGGCCTCCTGGGAGCCGCAGTTCACCTCCACTGTCCACCAACATGAACTACAACACAGAGAAAGAACAAATGAACTCACTTAACTTGACCATAAAGGAGAATGTAACATATTCAACATAACATGGGGTGGTGATGGCGCAGTGGGCGAGACACATGCCTTTGGTGTGAGAGACCTAGGTTCGAATCCACTGTGAGACACCAATGTGTCCCTGAGCAAGACACTTAACCCGTAGTTGCTCCAGAGGCGTGCGACCTCTGACTTATATAGCAATTGTAAGTCGCTTTGGATAAAAGCGTCAGCAAAATTAATTAATTTAAATGTATATTAATGAGCGATGCAGATTAATCAGTAGAGCAGTGTTGCATGACAAGCTGCATGTTAGTAATCTTCTTTCTAGATAGAAACAAACAATAGATACTGGGGGGGGGGGGGGGGATTTTTGTAATGTACTTATGGGGACCTATTATGCCCTTTTTTGCACCTTAATTTTATTTTTGGGCTCTACTAGATTAAGTTTTCATGCTTGAAAAAAAAAAAGCATCTCTTTCTCTCTTCCCAGTCTGTCAGTAATGCTCTGTTTAGTTCTTGTATCTATGAAGCCCCTCCTTCTGAAAAGCACACATTGTGCTCTGATTGGTCGGCTGGAGCAGTGTGTTGTGATTGGTCAAGCACTTCTAGTGTGTTTGGGAAATGTCCCGCCCCTTACAATAACCCCAGTTTAACACACTACTAACTAACTCAACCAGGCCCCGCCCCTTTATTCTGCATATAAATTATTATAATGAGGAATATTGTGACGTGTCCGTTCCCGGAAGAAACTCGAGACTACAGTGGAGACGTTTCAGGAGTTCAGAAACACTGACACTGAAGAACTAGAACTTTGCAGAGATTTTTCATGCAGAAACAGCGACATAATAGGTCCTTAACTTCTTAATTGTAATATATACAGTATATATTACAATTAAAAAGTTGTATATATGAAGAGTTCAGATGCAAAAGCCTCTAAATGCCATTTGAAATTTTCTTCTTTAATGATGATTTTTATCAAACTTGTATATTTAAGTTAAATAACAATTAATAGGTAATTATCATTGCCATTAAAGTGAAATTACTGAAATTAAATATACAAGCTTGATAAAAATGATCATTCTAGAAGAAAATTTCAAATGGCACTTAGAGGCTTTTGCATCTGAACTCTTCATATACAGTATATATATATATAACGTCTTGTTGTAATAAATATGTATATATATATTAAGTGAATCAATTGGAAGAGGTGCCCTGGTTGAGAATCAATGATGTAAATGGAACAATTTTTTTTTTTTTTTTTAGGATTTGATTGGAAACTGAGAGTTGCCTGAGATATAATAGCGTAATGCTATTTAATCCACCTATAAAGCCTCGATTACGTCAGTCAGAAAGAAAAGTCAACCAGGTCAATATTACAGATCATAAATATTAGTATTTAGTTTAAATTTTATTTTATAGTATTTTTAGTATTTAAAAAGTTTGAATTTTTTTTTATCCAATCAATTCTGGAATCGTATGTAAATTAGTGCATATTTAATCAGATAATCCCTGATTTGCATACTTCAACTTAACAGAAAACTTGTAATATAAAATATCTTAATGCACTGTGATTAATCAACTGGGTAAGCTTAATGATCTCTTCTACCAAATTGACCTATGGTGTCTTGCCTTTACACAGCATAGAGAGTCCATTTTGATTTCATTCTGGACTTTTTTAAGGAACGACAGCATTTCAGGAGCTTCATGGGACGTCCTGTGAGCTCAGATGATCTTACTTTGAGAAGTGTAGTGGGATGTACAGTGTCCTTCTGCATCTGACCGTCCTTTGAGAGGTTACAACACTGTGAATACAAGTCCTCAAGGCATGGCATAGAAAACAGCAGAACCTGCAGAGAGAACAGAGCAATGCGTTCAGGAGAACGTGAGTCTGAGTACGACCACATGATCCAAAAAAAAAACAAAAACAAAAAAAGACAGTTATACCTTAACAGCGAAAGTGTCATCTGTGGACTTGCAAGCTTCTGCTTTGGTTTCCGTCTGGTTTGATCCTATGTGAAAGTGACACGGTCCTCTCAGAGGAAGGGGCTGGTTGAGCGGGAAGCTCTCGGTCCAGGACAGCTGGAGGTGGAAGAGGTTAGAGGTCAGGTGCAGGTGTGGGTACCGACGCTGAAGCTCCAGATAACCACAGGCCTGGCTGAAAAAGTCAAGAGGAAAACACAGTGAGTTTACGCTTCAACTGAGGAGAGATCCCCTGATGTGATTGTAAAGCACTTTGGGTGAACAGTAATATATATATATAAATGCCTCATTCATCAGAACGTCCCAGCACTGTTTGGCCTGACTTACGTGTCCCTGGAGAAACAGGAGAATAACGGCGCTCTGTGTGTGGTTACGGAGCTGCTTTTTTTGGGCGCTTCCTCCGCCCTCCATCTTTTGCGTTTTTGGTGCATGGCGTCTGATCCCCACGGCCCTCCGCCACCGTCCTCCCTGAAGAACACACGTCAGCGTGTTAAAAACAGGACAGTCTTATTTTTATTTTGTGTCACCGTACTAGGTCTAGTTACACTGCTCGAGTAACTGTATTTAAATAGGGAAAACGTGGAGGTGTTTGGTCGCTTCTCTGCTTGGCCCATAGTGAATGAACTGGGCTAGTTACGTGTAATCAAAGTGTCTCGCGCGCCAGAGCGATTGACGACAGAGGTATGCATCAGCTCGTCTTAGTTAAGGGAATAACATAGTTTAATATGAAAAAACAGTGGAGTATCACTTTAAAATTCAAATTGCTAAATTATATGCTAAAAGGATGCAGTGGGGTCATGTGACTTTTGCTGATAATTTACTCACCCCCATGTCATCCAAGATGTCCATGTCTTTCTTTCTTCAGTCGAAAAGAAATTAAGATTTTTGACGAAAACATTCCAGGACTTTTCTCCATATAATGGACTTCAATGGGAACCAAACGGTCCAAGGTTCAAAAGACAGTTAATAACAGTTTCAGATGCAGCTTCAAATGTCTTTAAACGACACCAGACGAATACGTAATACGTAATTACGTTCAAAAGGTCACGGGCAACGTAGCCGGAAGTACAGAGTCAGTGTTAAAAAAAGTTGAACGTATAGGTTGAACGTGCAAACTAACTTAGCGCCGTTTACAAAAAAAAGGAATTAAAAGGTAAAACAACGATGTCGGACGATTTTGATTCTGTACTTTCGGCTACGTCGCCCGTGACCTTTTGAACGTAATTACGTATTACGTGACGTTGCAAACGCGCCTCACAGAATAGAGCAAGGCTAGCATTTGTCCTTAGAAAAGTTACATTTTTGGAATAAGTTTTGAAATAACCGATCGTTTCGCATGATAAGACCCTTATTCATAGTCTGGTGTCGTTTAAAGACATTTGAAGCTGCATCTGAAACTGTTATTAACTGTCTTTTGGACCTTGGACCGTTTGGTTCCCATTGAAGTCCATTATATGGAGAAAAATCCTGGAATGTTTTCATCAAAAGCCTTAATTTCTTTTCGACTGAGAAAAGAAAGAAAGACATGGACATCTTGGATGATATGGGGGTGAGTAAATTATCAGCAAAAGTCATTTCAAACGTGAACTAATCCTTTAACAATGCAGCATAATATAGTTTAAAAAATGTTCAAAGTAGAAAACAGACTACACAGTATTCCAGGTCATTGTGTCTCACCAGCGTCCACCTCTCCGTCCTCCCATGATCTCAGGGTGTCTCTTCCGCCCTCCACCCCAACCATCGAACGGGCCGTTCCAGGGCATCTGCTGGTGATGGGACATCTGGATCATTCCACCTGTGACATCAGTGCTATTTTAGTATCATTCACCAAACCCTTTCAGACACTGAGAGAAGTGATGCTGCAATGCATATTAAGAGAAAAATGTGTTGTTGTTTTTTAAACTTGGATGCATGTAAATCGATTGTAGGAGAATCCAAAACAAAATTAGGAAAATAGCATAATAGGGGCACTTTATCAAGTAATAGTTTAATAGTTTTAGTTAATGATAACAAGACTGTGTCACGTACCAGGGTTTGGCTGCATACTGGGAATCAGTGGTGGTATTTTGGGAGATTTCAGCAGGGGTTGAGGTTTGGTCCCTAAAATGCCAGGCTTCATATTGGTCGACATGGACGGCAGCAGCGGAGGAGGAGATTTGAACGGCTGACGGAGGAAAACCCGGAGAAAGAGACTGAAGATCAGGCATAACTATAACCGATTAACTATACACCCATTCATTATACTCTTAAGAAACATGAAGTAACTTTACATACTTCTAGAAACTCAATTTTTACAAAAAATATTATTATTTTAGCAACGCACTAAGGCTTTCACTTGTTAAAGGAGTAGTTCACTTTTAATAAAACTTTTGCTGATAATTTACTCACCCCCATGTCATCCAAGATGTCCATGTCTTTCTTTCTTCAGTTGAAAAGAAATTAAGGTTTTTGATGAAAACATTCCAGGATTTTTCTCCATATAATGGACTTCAATGGGGTCCAAACGGTTCAAGGTCCAAAAGAGAGTGGACTTCATTGGGAACCAAATGGTTCAAGGTCCAAATGACACTTTCTTCAGTGCAAACTGTTCAAAGGGCTTTAAACAACACCAGACGATGAATAAGATAAAATGACCAAATCTTTTTCCGAGTCATTTGGTTCATTCGACGAACAAAACAAATGAATTGACTCAGAAAAAGATTAGTTAATTTTGATGAACGAGTTCGAGCAGGAGAGTCACGAACGTGCGTCACAGAACAGAGCAAGGTGAGCATTTGTGCTATAAAACTTAAACTTTGTTATTTATTTATTAAATGAGCGATCGTTTCGCTTGATAAGACCCTTATTCATCGTCTGAAATCATTTAAAGACCTTTGAAGCTGCACTGAAAGTGTCATTTGGACCTTTGAACCGTTTGGTTTCCAATGAAGTCCATTATATGGAGAAAAATGCTGAAATGTTTTCATCAAAAACCTTAATTTCTTTTCGAATGAAGAAAGAAAGACATGGACATCTTAGATGACATGGGGGTGAGTAAATTTTCAGCAAAAGTTTTTCAAAAGTGAACTACTTTAATATAAATGTTAATATATATATATATATATATATATATATTACAATTCAGCCAAACTTAATTTTGTTCGAAAATAAAAAAAATAAAGATCTGGGAATGCTCATTGTTTGCCCAGCATTTTTAAAATCCTAAATGTTTCTTGAGCAGCAAATCATCACATTAGAATGACTTCTGAAGGATCATGTGACACTGAAGACAGGAGTAATGATACTGAAAATGCAGCTTTAACCACAGGAAATATATTCACATAGAAAACTGTTCTTTTAAATTGTAATAATATTTCACATTTTTACTGTTTTTACTCTATTTTTAATCAAATAAGATGGTAGTGTTTGTTTAGTGCAAATTCACATTTCTATGCTCTAAATCAGCTGTTTCTAATAAACATTATAGTGTATAATGTTTTAAATATGGATATTTTTCTTACAAAAAAATGCTTCGCTTCACTTCATAAGGCCTTTATTAACCCATGCAGTCATATGGATTGCTTTTATGATGGATGGATGTGCTTTTTAGGCTTCAAAAACAAGTTACCATTCACTTCCATTATAAAGCCTTTTCTCTAAATGCGTTTGGCTGAAATCAGAAAGTCAAATACTACTAGGGCTGTCAAATGATTAATCGCGATTAATCGCATCCAAAATAAAAGTTTGTGTTTACATAATATATGTGGGTGCACTGTGTATAATTATTTTATATATATATAAATACACACAAATGCTTGTATATATTTCAGAAATATTTTCATGTATAAACTGTGTATAGGTTTATATATAAGTTATACTATATATAAATATTTTATATATAAATAATATTTTTTTCTTAAATATACATGCATGTGTGTGTATTTATATATAAAATAATTGTACACAGTGCACCCACATACATTATGTAAACACAAACTTTTATTTTGGATGCGATTAATCGTTTGACAGCCCTAAATACTGCTAGGATGGCTTGAGGGTGAGTAATTATGGGATAATTTGATATTTTAGGGTGAACTAACGCAGGGACCAAATATTTCAACAAATTGCAGATTTCTATTGTACAACAACTTCTTAAGGACATGATATTTGTGTATGAGTGTAAAACGTTGCTCCATACCTGTCCGTTCAGGGTCTGGACTTTCTGTGCCGTCCAGCTGATGGGTTTCAGGGGGTCCTGAACCGCTTTCACCAACACTTTCTCACCAACCAGTGGCATTCGACCCACCACAACACTGCAGTGCAAAGCACAAACCTCAGATCTCACATCAGATTATCACTGATTCATGCAGAATTAAACAAACACACAAACCTCATTGGGAAATGAACCTCCTGATCCACAATCCCATGATGCTCCTGCATCTGTGTGACCACCCCGGTAAACACACGTTGCCTCATCTAAACACAGAATCATTCAGCGTTTACACAATAAAACATGAGAACGTGTATCTTGTTCTTATGCACAATAATACTATCATATGTACCTGTGTCTCCATATCAGATTTTCCTTTCTCCTTTGCATGCAAAAGAAAGTATACTGAGTGCTTCGGGACACGAGCGTACACAATATAAATGCATGAATAAATAAATATGCAGTGATGTGTCTGCTTGTTGTGTAGGTCAACAGCAGCATGTGGGATATTTACTTCCTACTGCGTTAGCAGCATTACAGCAATGGCAGTTTGGTGCGGTTTTCCCGAATCCGCAGATCGTTATTTAAGACGAAACTGTTAGAAGAGATATTAAACAACATAATGCGACATTCAAAAGGCAAAACTTACTTATATTTTGTGTTCGTGGTCTTATTTTCCTCTACGTTGCCGCTTTTGTTTGTCTTGTCAGTTCTTCTTCCAACGGGCGTTTCAGACAGCAGCGTCATCAACCGGTAAGCCAGAGTAACTACAGGTGAAACGCCTTAAACTGCGTTTGGTTGAAAATACAACATCAGAGACCACACAAAAACATTAAATGTGACGTACACATTCATAGATAGTTTTCTAAACTTTGTTATTCTTTATAGACCGTCGTATTCATGTTAAAGGCACGTCGTTTGGTTTGACCTGCAGTTCCCTTCCAGTAGCATAAGTGGCGCTGTGGCGCAACGGGTACAATGTCTCGCTCGTCTGCCTGTGCGCAAACACACGTGTGAAGATGGAGGAGGATAGACTACTTTTTCATGAGATGGGCTTAGATGATCGGCTATTAAAGGTAAAATATATAGTCGGGCTTATAATATAAAGTCTGTCCGCCTCGAAATGCCAGACAGCAGGATATCATCAGTGTGACTTGTGCCGTCTGTATGAATTTTGTGTCTGTTTCGACATTATATTATTTACTGGCTAACATTAGCACTGTCATTCCTGAAACAGAATAAAATAGAACTCTCATTGGATCCATGCAAACATTTCTTTTTGGTTCAACAGATTCACCATAAATGCCTTTGTTGTATATCAGTATTTAGTTATATGAATACCATAGTTCCTCCCAAAATACTATAGTTAGTACAGTAAAAGTGTGGCAATATGTATAAATATATTTTATATATATATTAGTGCTGTCAAGTCGATCTACCATAAAATACATTGTTTACATAATATATGGATGTATATCACATATGCATGTCTGTGTTTGTGAGTGTATATACTGTATTTATGTGTGTGTATGTTTTGTATATAATTGCGATTAATCGCACCCAAAATAAAAGTTTGTGTTTACATAATATGTGTGTGTAGTGTGTATAATTATTTTAAATATATAAATACACACACACATGCATGTATATATTTAAGAAAAAAAATGTGTTATTAATATATCAAATATTTATATTTATGTATAATATTAATTTTGTATAAATATATATTAAGTATATACATGCACGTATTTCTTAAATGTATACACGCATGTGTGTATATTTATATACAAAATAATTATACAAAACTTTTATTTTGGATGCGATTAATCGTTTTACAGCCCTATTTGGATTAGAAATGCAAAAGATATTGGTAAAAGAAGCACACGTTGAAGATGTTTAGATGATGTTTAGAAGGTTGTGGTTTAAAATAAACATTCTGACATTAACACTCTGTAAACATTAAGTCAAGTTTGCTTTGTAATTGTACCAATGAGCACTCAAACACACCAAACCAACAATTTCTAAGAACTATTATTATAAATTGTCACCATATCACCATTATAAATTGTTATGCAACCATATAGTTTAATTTTCCGCATTTATTGTATGTCAGTATTAGTACTTGCTTTCATACCACAAATAAAAACTTTTGCTCTGTGATTGTAACAATGAGCACTCAAACCAACAATTACTAAAAACAGATTTTGTATGGGCTCTGCACTATTATATATCATTTCTGATTTTCAGATGTGACCCTGCATGTTGATGCCTCAAATCACAAAACATTTTGGATCCCATTTACTCTTGTATTTAAGTGCTGTCCGCTTGTGATGCTTGATTTAGTGCTGCTGTTGTGTGTCTCAGGCTCTGGCTGATCTAGGCTGGTCTCAGCCCACGCTCATCCAGGAGAAAGCCATCCCGCTGGCGCTGGAGGGGAAAGACCTGCTGGCCCGAGCTCGAACCGGATCGGGGAAAACCGCAGCCTATGCGGTCCCACTGATCCAAAGAATCCTGACGTCCAAACAGGTGATGTGTGGCTGTTATTCATTCATACTAAGCTTATACTGATGACAGAAATGAGTAACATTTGTTGTCGCTGGTGTTGAATGTTTGCTGTGTGCAGACTGTACGTGAGCAGGCCATTAGAGCTCTAGTCCTGGTCCCGACTAAAGAACTGGGCCAGCAGGTCCAAACCATGATCCGCCAGCTCACTGCGTACTGCGGCCGAGACGTGCGAGTGGCGGACATCTCTGGGAAGGCGGATCTATCGGCACAGAAGTCAGTACTACAACAAATCACTGGACTGAGCATATTTGCTAAAGGAACTATATATATGGAATTCAATTTGATGATATTGTTCTTGAACTATATATATATATATATTAGTTCTGAACTAATTTGTTTTTTTTTTTGGGAGATTTGAAATGAAGAGTTCAAATGCAAAAGCCTCTGAGTGCCATTTGAAATTTTCCTCTAGAATGATCATTTTTATCTAGCTTGTATATTTAAGTTCAGTAATTTCACTTAAATGGCAATGATAATTACTTATTAATTGTTATTTAAGTGAAATTACTGAACTTAAATATACAAGTTTGATAAAAATCATCATTAAAGAAGAAAATTTCAAATGGCATTTAGAGGCTTTTGCATCTGAACTCTTCAAATATTGAATGCAGGAAGTAAAACTCCAGTTCATTGCTGTTTTAGTATTAGTTATATACTGTTATAGTATTTATTCATATTTTGAATTAACATTTATTAAATATTTACTTTTTTTTATTTATTTGAGACATTTCTCTACTTAATATTATTGTTTTGAATATTTTTTTTATTTCAGTTAATATCATTTAATATTTATATTTTATATAATGTCAGCTTTATTTTAATTAACACATTTATTTTCAATAGTTTTAATAGTAGTTTATGGGGACCTATTATGTCTTGATTTTGTTTTTGGGCTCTACTAGAATAAGTTTTCATGTTTAAATGTTCAAAAAACACATTATTTTCTCTCATATTCTCCTCTCTTCCCAGTCTGTCAGTAACGCTCTGTTTAGTTCCTGTCTCTATAAAGCTCTTCCTTCTGATAAGCACACTGTGCTCTGATTGGTCAGCTGGATCAGTGTGTTGTGATTGGTCAAGCGCTTCTAGTGTGTTTGGGAAATGTCCCGCCTCTTACCATAACCACCAGTTTAACACGCTACTAACTCACTCAACCAGGCCCCGCCCCTTTATTCTGCGTATAAATTATTCATTTAAGCTCTCAAATCTCATTCTAATTGTAATTGAATATTGATTCCAAGAAACATTTACAATGCTTTGTGTTTCACAGGCCTATTTTAATGGAGAAGCCAGATATTGTGGTGAGCACGCCGTCCCGTGTTCAGGCTCACATCAACGCCCAGAACCTGCAGCTGCACTCTTCATTAGAGATGCTGGTCATCGACGAGGCTGATCTACTCTTCTCGTTTGGGTTTGAAGCAGACCTTAAAAGCCTGTTGTGGTACGTGTTTGATTGAAACAGTTTTTGCTGTGTAAAATATCTTAAACTGTGACGGTCTGACGGGCTTGGGACGACATGAGGGAGAGTCATTAATGACATCATGTTTATTTTTGGGTGAACTAACCCTTTAATAGGGCACTTTGACTGAACACTTCTCCTTAAGATGTGCTCTCTTCTATTTGGACTTTGTTACAACATCTAGTATTTGTCTGTTCCCCTCTGCAGTCACTTCCCCAAGATCTACCAGGCGTTCCTCATGTCGGCGACGCTGAATGACGACGTTCAGGCCCTGAAAGAGCTCGTCCTCCACAACCCAGTGAGTGCAGTAGCAGAGAAGCGGTAGCAGCGCGTGTGTGTGTGTGTGGTTTTGATGGTTCTCCTGCTCCTGCTGTAGGTGACGCTGAAGCTCCAGGGTTCCCAGCTGCCCGACAGCTCTCAGCTCCAGCAATACAGTGTCCAGTGTGAGGAGGAGGACAAGTTCCTGCTCATCTACACGCTCCTGAAGCTCGGCCTGGTTCGAGGGAAGTCCCTTATATTCGTCGGCGATGTGGACCGCTGTTACCGGCTCAAACTGTTTTTGGAGCAGTTCAGCATCCCTGCTTGTGTCCTGAACTCTGAACTGCCGGTTCACTCCAGGTAGGAGAAGAGACTTGAAATCAAAGTTTATTTTCTTAAAGCTGCAGTGTGTCATTTCTGCACCATTAAATAGCCCTGCTGCTATTGGTCGAGTCTGCAGTTTTGTGTTGAGGCACTTCCAGGATTATTACCATCACCAACTAAAACTAATTAAAAATGATAGAAATAAAATTAGTTGGAAAAAAAAAAAGTTTTTCATATAATGTATTTAGGGAAAATGACTTGGTTCACTTTAAAAAAAAAAAAAAAAAACTTTTGCTGATAATTTCCTCACCCCCATGTCATCCAAGATGTCCATGTCTTTCTTTCCTCAGTCGAAAAGAAATTAAGGTTTTTGATGAAAACATTCCAGGATTTTCTCCATATAATGGACTTCAATGGGAACCAAACAATTCAAGGTCCAAAAGAGAGTTTCAGTGCAAACTGTTCAAAGGGCTTTTAAACGATTCCAGACGATGAATAAGGGTCTTATCAAGCGAAATGATCGCTCATTTCAAAAATAAAAAAGTTTACGTTTCATAAGTACTAATGGTCTCCTTGCTCTGTTCTTTGATGCGCGTTCGTGACTCTCCTGTTCAAACTCGTCCATCAAAATGAACAAATCTTTTTTCGAGTCATGACTCAAAGGGTTCTAGATAAGACCCTTATTCATCATATTCATTCAATCTTTGTTGTAAAGCGATCTTTGGTGACATTGATGATTACGTTACGGTTGATCATCTGTCCATCATCGTATGAAGCCAGTCCTGATGATTTGATTGGTCCGAACAGCTTTGGTTCGGGCACACTTGCTTCACAAAGGCCCAGAACGACCTTCCCATCCTCAAATGTCGTGGCTGGCATCCAGGCTAAAGAGTTTCCCTTTCAGACGCTAAATTTATGGGAGGAGAGTATTTAAATGAATCACGGAAGTTTGCGTTCGTCAGTTTACTGGCCATTAATTACTGCCCCCAAAAATCACGTCTTAAACCAGACGCTAATTTCCGTTGCTCTTGGTAGATTGTGTTGGTCATTATGGAAATGATTCGGCTGTCTGTGTTTTTTGATTGACAGTCAGTAGATGTACCAGGCTCTGGGCCGTGCAATGTTTGTTGTTTAAATTATTTCCTGTTATAATACTTCTTGCAATGCCATGAGGCTGGAGAAAAATATGGACCAGTAATATTTGTAAATATTAGTCGTTACGTCACATCATTCACAGGTGTTTAATGCTGTTTTCATGTTGCATTCGGTGTACTTAAATATGTTTTAATTGGGTCGGTTTTTCAGGTGTCACATTATCGCTCAGTTTAATCAAGGCTTCTACAATTACATCATCGCCACGGATGAACAAGGACTAGAGAATCCCGTGGCAAGTTCCCAGAAAACACAGGACAAAGGAAAGAAGAAAAAGAACTCTGGGAAAAGTGGAAAGTATGAGTTCCCTGCTAATGAAATAGAAATCATTTTAAAATATTAATTATTTATTCTTTAAATGGTTGGTGTTTTAAATGGTTTCAGCTTTAAACATGTATACTGACTTTTGTTTTGTCCTCTCAGAGGCAAAGACAAGGAATATGGCGTTTCCAGAGGGATCGACTTTCACAACGTGTCTAATGTGATCAACTTTGATTTTCCCACTTCAGTCGAGTCCTACATTCACCGCGTCGGCAGGTACACTGACGATTATTATCCCACTATATTCAGAAAAAATCATTTATATTTAATTTTAATTTTAGTTTGTTAACAACAATTATTTATTTTTATATTTTTAGTTATAGATTTAGTAATTTTATGTGCTTTTGTCATTGTATAGTCTATTTTTTATTCTATTTTCATGAATTTTTATTGATTTCAGTTTTAGATATTTTAGCACTTTAACAAACTTATTTTATTTAATTTATTTATTTTTAATTTGTTTGTCTATCATCTAAAGTTTATATAATTTTTTCACCTTAATTTAAATTATCTTAAATTATTTCTAATAGATTTAGTTAATACTGATATAATTAATATCTAATATACTAATGTATACACGTTAATACTTATATTTTCATATGAATAATTTATATGAATAATCTTTGTTTTTTAAATCCTATTTAGCAATAATTTATATTTAAATCAGTTTTAGAACTTTTAATTATTTTTTTTATTTAGTTGCCATTTTATAATTTTTGTGTAAGATTTATATTTTTAATATTATTAAAAAATTATATTGTATTTTGTTGTAGCTGTATATATACACTCACCTAAAGGATTATTAGGAACACCACACTAATACAGTTGATGGAGATTTGGAGACTTCGTGCCATGCACATCCAGGGCACGAAGCTCCCGTTCCACCACATCCCAAAGATGCTCTATTGGGTTGAGATCTGGTGACTGTGGCGGCCATCTTACTACAGTCAACTCATTGACATGTTCTAGAAACCACTCTGAAATGATTGGAGCTTTGTGACATGGTGCATTATCCTGCTGGAAGTAGCCATCAGAGGATGGGGACATGGTGGCCATAAAGGGATGGACATGGTCAGAAACAATGCTCAGGTAGGCCGTGGCATTTAAACGATGCCCAATTAGCACTAAGGGGCCTAAAGTGTGCCAAGAAAACATCCCCACACCATTACACCACCACCACCAGCCTGCACAGTGGTAACAAGGCATGATGGATCCATGTTCTCATTCTGTTTACGCCAAATTCTGACTCTACCATCTGAATGTCTCAACAGAAATCGAGACTCATCAGACCAGGCAACATTTTTCTAGTCTTTTCCAGAGCTCTTGCAAATTGTCGCCTCTTTTTCCTATTTGTAGTGGAGATGAGTGATACCCGGTGGGGTCTTCTGCTGTTGTAGCCCATCCGCCTCAAGGTTGTGTGTGTTGTGTCTTCACAAATGCTTTGCTGCATACCTCGGTTGTAACGAGTGGTTATTTCAGTCAAAGTCGCTCTTCTATCAGCTTGAATCAGTCGGCCCATTCTCCTCTGACCTCTCGCATCAACAAGGCATTTTCGTCCACAGGACTGCCCCATACTGGATGTTTTTCCCTTTTCACACCATTCTTTGTAAACCCTAGAAATGGTTGTGTGTGAAAATCCCAGTAACTGAGCAGATTGTGAAATACTCAGACACCAACAACCATGCCACGCTCAAAACTGCTTAAATCACCTTTCTTTCCCATTCTGACATTCAGTTTGGAGTTCAGGAGATTGTCTTGACCAGGACCACACCCCTAAATGCTTTGAAGCAACTGCCATGTGATTGGTTGATTAGAGAATTGCATTAATGAGAAATTGCTAATAATCCTTTAGTTGAGTGTAAATTAACATTTAGATTTAATTAACAATAATACTAGTTAATCCTGATTTTCCCTGCTTCCCTTTAGAACGGCTCGTGCGGATAATCAGGGCACTGCGCTGTCCTTCATTTCTCACACAGAAATCCCGATGCTCACAGAGGTGGAAAGCGCTCTCACTGGAGGTGAAAGTCACATGCTTCATACATGGTCACCAACAACTAAATCAGGCCTGCTTGTCCTCTTAACCTAATATTATAAACTAGCATTAAAAATGATGGTATTGTTTAGAATTTTACTGTATTTATTGTATATTTGGGGAAAAAAATCGCAAGCAAATTTATTCCTTTGTTTTCAGACACAGAATGTGTTTTGAAGCCGTACGGGTTCAAAATGGAGGAAATCGAGGGTTTCAGATACAGATGTCGGGTATGTTTGTGTCCTCTTATAGTACTGAAGCCGTATTGTGGTTTGGTTCACCTGAAGTCTCTTATATGGTATAATTTACCCAGGATGCAATGAGATCAGTCACAAAGCAGGCGGTGAAGGAGGCCAGACTGAAGGAGATCAAACAAGAGCTGCTCAATTCAGAGAAACTCAAGGTTTGTGCTCTTTAAACACGGCTTATTTTAACCAGTCACTCTCTCGTGTTGATCGACCCTAGTAACTAATATCCTTTCTCTGACAGACGTATTTTGAAGACAATCCCAGAGACTTACAGCTGCTGCGACACGACAAAGACCTTCATCCCGCCGTCATCAAACCTCACATGAAGAACGTGCCCGAATACCTGAGTAAGGAGTGATCGCTTTTTGATTGACGTATATATTGGACGCACGGACAAATGAATCTCAAACACAGTTTTCATGTCCGTTTCAGTCCCGGCTACGCTGAAAAGTCTCGTCAATCCTCTGAAACAACGGAGGAAAAGGAAGTTTAAAACGGGTGGCATGATGCTGAGCAGCTTTAAGGTGATGATTGTTCATGTACTTGAACACTTTTGTAGCTCAACGTAACATTACATGCATATTAACTACTTAATGACATAATTAGGGCTGCTCCGACCAGACTGAATCCATTAGTCGACTATTTGCACGTTTATGATATTAATTTGATTACTTTAGAAAAATACTTAACTGGAGTAATCAGTAATAGTTTCTCCGTCACAGATTGCATGACTTCACCACTTCCTGTGGAGGTGTTTTTTTTTATTTATTAAAATTTGGTCGACTAAGCCCTTTCTCAGTGACTAACGTTTAGTCAACTATTAGGAGGTAGAGCCAGACCGATATATCGGCAGACCGATATTATCGGCCGATATTAGGCATTTTCCAAACTATCGGTATCGGTAGTTATAATGGCCGATAAATTAATATTTCAAAAATAAAATAAAAACGGACGAAACATGCTTGAACCATGTCATGAGTGTTGGGAGTTGTATAGTTTGTCCACCAGAGGGCACTCTACACCGTTCCTACATACATTGCTTGAATAACAATTAAAAGAACATCCCCATCAGTTCCCTTAGCTCAAATAAGCATGACAAAATTAGTGACCATCATGTCCAGTTTAAAAAATAAAATTAAAAAATAAATAAAATATCGGCCGATATATCGGATTTTAAAACCCTAAAATATTTGTATCGGTATCGCCCTTTAAAATCCTTTATCGGTCGGGCTCTAGGAGGCAGCCCTAGATATGACATAATTGGTTTATTAAGAATTAGATACTTAATATGACTCGAATTGTCTATAAAAACACAATCTGAATCAATCATTTTCAACTTTTGTTGCATTTGCAGAATTTCAAAGGCAAAAATCCACTGAAGAGTTTTCGCTACACAAGGAAGAAGCGCGGTGAAAAGAAGGCTGGGAAAACCTAACAGCTTCAGAGACATTGGGATGTTGAGGAATCGTCTGGACACTTTGTAAACATGCAGTGAACTGTTCATCCTGGCTTCCTGCATGTTTGAAATATTCCTTATGGATTTTGAACATGTAATATTGTTTCATTAATACTAACACTCTACTTCATAAAGTGTCTCATGTTCTGATTTTGATTGGAAAGCTTCAGAGCTTCATTTTCAAATTGCACAAGTAATTAACAAAAAAATCAACTATTGTCAAAAGAATTTATCAAGATTTTTTTTTTTTTTTTTTCTCCATTTTTTTCAATTAAATTCACATTTAGTTCTTATGAGAAATTGTCATGAAAATAATATCACGAGGTCCTTAAAATTCTTTGATATTGAGAGGAAATATGACTTGTTTTATGTTTATTGCCAAATATAAACCTTTGACAAAATGCTTTTATATCCATATTAAATGGACAAACCGATTCTGAAGTTGTAATTTAATGTCCACATCAAATACTCATTTGATCACAAGAACAACAGACTAGTTATGGTCCAGGTTACTGGTTAAAAACTTTTATTAATGCCAAATATTTATTAATCAGCATGTTAACTTTTACTACAATTAATGAGTATGTGAAGGGGAACAATTAATTTAAACATCACTAAATGCTCAGGTTCTTCTAAAATGAGCCAGCACTGATTTGGCAATTACCAGAAGGCACCTCAAAAGGTCTTAGTTAGTTAGTGGTACATGTGAAGGGTAACTTGCACATTACTGAGGGCAGATACACAAGCACACACTCATTTAGAGATGTCGATATAACACTGTTTCCTGTGCTGAAACACCTCAACCATTCAAAAGAAGCAAACGCAGAACAAATGTTTACATCGACACGACACTCCATGGAGTAAGAAATGTCAATCCAGCTCTACTGACCCACAACATTAGTGTTTGAACATGTCATAGTGACCAGTTTAAGGATTTGTAGATTCTCCTGTTCATACAAAACGTTCCTATAGTGCCAGCTGGTACAGCATATATATATCTACTGAAAAACATGAGTGAATTGGGTTATATTTCACCACAAATAAGACTAGAAAATCTTATTTTGCCTAAACAAACTTAAGCATATATTTAAAGACATAATTTTCAAAAGAATTAAGCTTGTTTTCACCCCCAAACTCACATTATTTTCCAATTTAATTTCCTGCGTAAAACATTTTTTTTACTGTACTAAGATTTTTTTAGTCTTGTAAATTAAATTAGCATAAAGGCAGTACAATAACTATCATGGTTTACACATGTACGTTACAATAAACAATTTTTCAAAACAAATTCAGGGAAATTTGTGCTTAATTGTACAATTGAAAAAAAAATTACATTTTGTCTTCTGATTTTGGGGTGAAATAAGACCTACTGTAGGACCAGTTGCATAAACTTGCCCACCATGTTAGTTGTGTCCCAAATTAACTATGAAACATGATGTATTTATGCACTATTTACTCAAACCTGAAGTGTATGAATTTTATACGGTCATTTAACATCAGGGTCTGAAAGCCTCTGTTATGACAGTTGAGTGCATGCGTAGAATTCAAGAATAGTTAAAGCTGCAAGCAACTTTTAGCGCTGTTCAAGCAGCCTTTAAGCACAAAAGCATCAAAAGACATTAGGTTTTATGTAGCAAGCATTTAACCAATGAGATCATAGATGGAATAGACCATGTTTTAGCATGATTCACCACATTTCAGTGTGATTTTCATTATTTACCAGTATGTAAGTTCCAGTATGATTTACCATAGTTTCAAGCTTGATACCTTTTTGACGGTTATAGCGCCACCTATGGTCCGATCTTCACAAAACTTTGCATGCTTCCTAACCATGTTAGGGCACATATGTTCATCAATTTTTGTGAAGTTCTGACTTTTCTTTTAGGATTTATTGGCTTTTGGCTATATTTTGCCACGGACCACATTCTAAATGACCCTGTTGTAGCCAACCAAATGCAAAATTTCAACTTTTTTATTTTGATAATTATTGATCTAGAGTCTCGAGAATAGGCCTAAACTAGTCTGGTTCTGATCGGGCAAAAAACCAGGGACTAGTTCGCAAAAGTAGGTTTTGGACAAAATTCGACACAGCGGAAAATCTATCTTGCCTAAATCAAAATCCGAGATATACATATTGTCCGTCTTGAGCTAAGGATCACATCGTTGTACAAAATCTTGAGGCAAAGTCAAACGGTCTAGGAGTTGTGAGCAATTTTGTACTTTTGGTTGCTGTAGCGCCACCTATGGGCCATTCGGGCTCATACTCTGATAGGTTCTCCCCAAAATGAGGGCTACTGTCTGGCCAGGTCTCAAGTCTCTTGGCCTTACGGTTTGGGCTGCAGGATGCGTTTTACGGCAGAAGAATAAGAATAAAAACCCTTACAAATACAATAGGTTTTCAGCACTTCGTGCTTGAACACCTAATAATAACAATGAGACCTTTTTGACGGTTATAGCGCCACCTATGGTCCGATCTTCACAAAACTTTGCATGCTTCCTAACCATGTTAGGGCACATATGTTCATCAATTTTTGTGAAGTTCTGACTTTTCTTTTAGGATTTATTGGCTTTTGGCTATATTTTGCCACGGACCACATTCTAAATGACCCTGTTGTAGCCAACCAAATGCAAAATTTCAACTTTTTTATTTTGATAATTATTGATCTAGAGTCTCGAGAATAGGCCTAAACTAGTCTGGTTCTGATCGGGCAAAAAACCAGGGACTAGTTCGCAAAAGTAGGTTTTGGACAAAATTCGACACAGCGGAAAATCTATCTTGCCTAAATCAAAATCCGAGATATACATATTGTCCGTCTTGAGCTAAGGATCACATCGTTGTACAAAATCTTGAGGCAAAGTCAAACGGTCTAGGAGTTGTGAGCGATTTTGTACTTTTGGTTGCTGTAGCGCCACCTATGGGCCAATCGGGCTCATACTCTGATAGGTTCTCCCCAAAATGAGGGCTACTGTCTGGCCAGGTCTCAAGTCTCTTGGCCTTACGGTTTGGGCTGCAGGATGCGTTTTACGGCAGAAGAATAAGAATAAAAACCCTTACAAATACAATAGGTTTTCAGCACTTCGTGCTTGAACACCTAATAACAATGAGACCTTTTTGACGGTTATAGCGCCACCTATGGTCCGATCTTCACGAAACTTTGCATGCTTCCTAACCATGTTAGGACACACATGTTCATAAATTTTTGTGAAGTTCTGACCTTTCTTTTAGGATTTATTGGCTTTTGACTGTATTTTGCCACGGACCACTTTCTAAATGACCCTGTTGTAGACAACCAAATGCAAAATTTCAACTTTTTTTCTCTCGATAATTATTGATCTAGAGTCCAGAGAATAGGCCTAAACTGGTCTGGTTCCGATCGGGCAAAAAACCAGGGACTAGTTCGCAAAAGTAGGTTATGGACAAAATTCGACATAGCGGAAATTTTTTTTTTTGCCTAAATCAAAATCCGAGATATTGTCCGTCTCAAGCTAAGGATCACATCGTTGTACAAAACGTTGAGGCTAAGTCAAATGGTCTAGGAGTTATGAGCAATTTTGTACTTTTGGTTGCTGTAGCGCCACCTATGGGCCAATCGGGCTCATACTCTGGTAGTTTCTCCCCAAAATGAGGGCTACCATCTGGCCAGGTCTCAAGTTTCTAGGCCTTACGGTTTGGGCTGCATGATGCGTTTTACGGCAGAAGAATAATAATTAAAATCCTTACAAATACAATAGGTTTTCAGCACTTGTTCGTGCTTGAACACCTAATAACAATGAGACCTTTTTGACGGTTATAGGGTCTAGGAGTTATGAGCAATTTTGTTCTTTTGGTTGCTGTAGCGCCACCTGTGGGCCAACCGGGCTCAAACTCTGATAGGTACTGCCCAAATTGAGGCCTACCATCTGGCCAGGTTTCAAGCCTTACGGTTTGGGCTGCACGATGAATGGGCCACACATGCACTCAACTTGAATATTCTCCAACACTTCATTTTTGCAGAGTATTTAAAGTGCACTTTTTCTTTAACGGCGTAGAATAGTGCATGAATATGCAATCTTTCAGTCTTTTCCAATTAGACCAATCTTATCATTTTATCTAACAGAGTTAAAAAAAGTTAGGAGCGGTCAAAATGTAGAAGACTAAGCAGTTTATGCAACCGTCCACTGGACACGTTCACCCAGATAATGCTGGTTTTACTCAACTTTTGTGCATGTACGTTTACGCTTTACAACGAGAGAAAAAGCACAACAGGAGCCTTCAGGCTGTTAGCAGCAAAGCATCATTAGATTGGATACAGCATTCGAGAGGTCCAGCGAGAGTCATGTGATCAAACACAATCACTAACACAGCACAGATTTACACTCACAACTGCGTTTACCGTCACACGAGGATCAAGGGGGCTGATTTCACAGTAAACCACACTTTAAGGCTTTATTATTACTCTCAAATATCACAATACACCAGCTGGTTTACTTATAATCAGGTGAAAATATTGCAGGAATGTTTCTTATATGCAGTGATTCAAGAACACGGAAGATGCAGGGAACCAAAGCTAATATGATTCAGTTATTTATTTACATTTTCAAGAGAGAAAAGGTATTAGAATTGTACACAAACAGACTTTGAAACATTTAATTTGGTCAGTCACTCACAATATTGCGGATTGAGAATCCAACCAACATGAGCACTCAATGAATATTTAACACATTGTTCACTGTTGTCACATTTAAAAAAGGAGTTCACGTCACATGTCCACTCTACAAGGCGCTTCAAAACTGCCAAAGCCGAATAATGGGTCTAAATATAGAGATCGCAGCATTTTCACTCGCACGTTGTCCATAGATAAGGCTAAACAGTCTGATGTCAACACACCTGTGTCTAAAAGTAAGGCACAGCGGGGACGTTTGACCCCTCTATGCTTTTATCTGTATCCGTTTTGAGCTTGTGCCAGACCCTGAGGAACCGCCAAGGAACGCTGAAGAAAACCAAGTTCTCACACAACATGAAAACCGATGGCAGAGTAAGTGTGGTGCATCATGGGAAATCAGCCCCCTCTGAGCCTGTCATTGTGTACCGTTGGATCGTTTCTCTCATGTATTCGCTATGACTGCTGCATGATGAAAGCACCAGCCCACACCAGGACAGAGAGAAAGAGAGAGAAAAGAAATAGAAAATCAGAGAGGAGAGGTGGCCGAAGAGTCCAGTCCAATCAGATCGCGATCACATGACCTCACAGCATGAGTTCTGCTTGCGTGCCTAGAACATAATCAACATCACGTTAGATCTTCATGTTAAAATAAGCATTGCTGTGTTCATGGGCATGTAGAGTACTGACCGTTTTATAAAAGGCTTTTGATTGGTTTCCCAAATGCTCCGATTTCTGAACTAAGTCATCCAGTTTTTCTCCTCTCTCCAGCAGCGACTCCATCGTGTTGTGCTGGAGGAACACGTTCGATCAGATACAAATGCATTCAAAAAACATTCGTCCTGCATACTGAGTATCAATGTGGGGGAAACAGAGGCTAGAAAAAAGCCTTGAAACTTGTTAAACACACTGCACTGTCATACTGTAATTTGCTCACCAAAATAATTTTGGTTTCGTCCAGTTCAGCTTGCACTTTGGTCATAGCGTCCGCCTCACGTGGATTCTGCAGAACAGGAGATAAAACTGTAAGATGTAATCAAATGTGTTGTGTTCACTAATCTTCAAGTGCACTACATGGCTTATTTTGGGCTGGTTGTTATATTCATGATTGTTCCACCTGGTATCTGGCCAGATGACTGTCCAGCGCTGTGTACTGAACACTCGCCTGTGATCCAGAAGGCCAGTCTATACTGTTCACCTGCCTGGAGAACTCATCCAGCACCTACACACACCACACAAACCCGCCAAGAGAGAAATGGTGATGTCTAATCAGTAAAAATCTCATAATAATATTTAATATTGATACATTTTTTAATTTACACATCATAATGTTTTTTTGTACTGTCTTTATAATGATAATAATTCGATAATAAAGACTGTAGAAAAGAGACAGATAGAAAGAAGGAGGGATGGAAAGACAGATGTACAGAGAGAAAAACAAACAGACAGATAGACAGATAGATAGATAGATAGATAGATAGATAGATAGATAGATAGATAGATAGATAGATAGATAGATAGATAGATAGATAGATAGATAGATAGATAGATAGATAGATAGATAGATAGATAGATAGATAGACAGACAGACAGACAGGCAGAAAGATAGAGAGACAGACAGACAGACAGATAGATAGATAGATAGATAGATAGATAGACAGATAGATAGATAGATAGATAGATAGATAGATAGATAGATAGATAGATAGATAGATAGATAGATAGATAGATAGATAGATAGATAGACAGACAGACAGGCAGAAAGATAGAGAGACAGACAGACAGACAGACAGATAGATAGATAGATAGATAGACAGACAGACAGACAGACAGACAGACAGACAGACAGACAGACAGACAGACAGGTAGATAGATAGATAGATAGATAGATAGACAGACAGACAGACAGACAGACAGACAGACAGACAGACAGACAGAAAGATTGACAGACAGATAGATAGATAGATAGATAGATAGATAGATAGATAGATAGATAGATAGATAGATAGATAGATAGATAGACAGACAGACAGACAGACAGACAGACAGACAGACAGACAGAGAGACAGATAGATAGATAGATAGATAGATAGATAGATAGATAGATAGATAGATAGATAGATAGATAGATAGATAGATAGATAGATAGATAGATGGATTGACAGACAGACAGACAGACAGATAGATATATTAATCTTGCTAATGTTATTGGTATTGGTTATGAAAAGCTTAAAGTCAACCAGACGCACCTTGTCAAGTAAAGTGAAACAGACTCTGGAGGGATATTCTCCGTCTGCGATCACAACGCCACTGAGATTGTCATTCCGCACATACACGTGACACAAGTACTCTAACAGGGAAAAACACACACGCAATCCATCAATACACTGCTTTCACGAGCAGCGCCACAAACCACTGTGAAAAAAGACAGATTGTCCTGAATGTGTAATTCTATCTCTGTTGACTAACATGCTAAACATATGTAAAGCACCTGCTTCTTTTTGTGTGTGTTATTCGATATAAAGTTAATATATTTTAAATGTATTAAATTGCAAGTTCATCCTTACAAATGACATTACAAATTAAAATACATACAAGTTTCAATAGAAATGTACATTAAAGTATATTTTAGTTGACCATAAATGCTTTTCACATTCTGAGTGCAAGTTCAAAAACAAAATTATGAAATGAAATATAAAGATGTATTTTAGTTCGGCTAACTCCATTTAATATAAATTTAAAAAAGCAATTAACAAGCAATTAAGTGTCCGAAAACATTACATTCAGTTCTCACTTACACTAATTTGTACTCTTTTATAAAACTATGCTAAAGTGTACTTTTTTTCATAAGGGTTGCATTCTGTATAACTCTAATAAACTGAATCTGAGGAGCTCAGCTTTAATAACACAGTAGACCTAATAACTAGTCCTTCGTCCTGCACAAGCTTCAATTAAACTCGACCTGATCTACAATCAGGCCAGGAGAAAACATTTCAGACTTCATCTTGATGGTGTAATCTCTGACCTTGCTCTTTGACGGACGCACGACTTCCTAATGGTGAACGCTCAACAATCAGAGCGCTGGTGAACGTCATAAACTCCTGAACACTGGGAAACAAAAACACGTTATAGATGCAGTTTGCAGTCAGTTGCAATGTTAACACCTAAAACGGTTTAATATGCAGTCCTATATGTACAAGACATCCCAGATGTTGTACCTGGATCTCTGGAAGAAACTGAATGATGACAGATCGTACGCCGCCTTCAACAGGTTGGACTTCGTCGAGCCTTTATACAAGATGCTCAGACTGTAGAGTTTCATGGTGTTTCTGGACAGGACCTGCAAGAACACATCAACAAAAAATGACACATTGCTTTATGATTTATTTTGATTTTATTGAATTATTTAATTTTATTGAATCCTATAATTATATATTTAATTAAACATAATAAAATACATAATTAACACTGAGGTTGATTCCTTCAGAACCGTATTATTCAGATATAGCACATGATTTATCCCAAGCAACTTACACTGATTATACAAAAGTCAGTATAGCACAGGACAATATAGGAGTCACTTAGCTTACATCACACCATTAGATTCCCCTGGTTATGATCAAGAGCACAATGGTTCAGGGTTTGAACCTACAACCTTTTATTTTAGTTAGTTGCCTACCTAGACCTTTAACCACTACACCACCACACCCATATATACATATCAACGAATGCACGGCCTCTAACGTTAGAGGATCCCAATAGATGAAATCAGATTATCAGAAGGTTTATAAAGAGCATATGTAAGCCTCTATTCAGATGTGTCATATGATTCAATACAGTTCAACAGGCTGATGACTAACACTACCAGCTGTTTAGCATTCGTGCTAGCTCTAAAAGTCGCCAGAATAATCTTTCTTAATGTGAGTCTTTCTGAAACCGTTTCGATAATGTGAGATGTGACATTATAAATATACATAAACAGTTGCCATTCTTACCTGCTCTGTATAAAACAGCCAAGACTGAAGCTAATCCGCTAACAGCTAATCTACACAGATGAGAATAACTTTTATGTATTTATCTAAACTGACAACGGTGTCGCCGGCGTGCTATTATGTAAATTAAAACAATTACTATTTGTATTATGGATTGTAATATCACTGGCATCCAGGATAGCCCAGGTTTACAGAAGGCATTTAATCAGATCACAACTATCCGAGGATTTTTTTCTCCCACAGAAACTTGCTAGCTGGCAGAAAGCGGCATTTCAAAATAAAAGACCGTCACACATACACCCATAGAAACTGACGTGTACAAAATAAAAGTCTTATTTTCATACCTTTTTTTACAGTCCCGTTTATGAAAGCGGACACAGAAACTCCCTCATAAACACCCATGACCCATGAAAAGGTACGTAAAACAAAAGTCTTTAAGTGCACGTTCATGAAATAGAAAAAATAAGAGTCCTTATTTGTTAAACTGAAAGCTGGCATAAAGCATAGAGATATGTTAAATAGTGCCACAAATGTCAATAATCTACACTCATGCGAGCTGCCATAGGCAAATTAAAACCATAATAACCCTGCAGATTTTTTTAATGTTCTATAAGCCTACTGCTGCTAAAATAATAAATCATCATTTGCTCTTAGCATGTTCTACCTTGTTTATCAGTCTGACGTCTACAAACCATCCCATTAACCATTTTAGCATTATATAATACTATTTACTAATTTTGTATTTCAAAAATGATTTAATCATGAGGGATTTATAATGCACTTATTATTTAAACAGAATTAACTTCAATGTTAATGATCTACATCATTATAGCTTATATGTAGGCTACATATAAAGTAAATACAATTGAATTTTGACTTACATTATAACATGAAAACTACAACATAACAAAATGATATTGAGACATTTTATTAGAAAAAAATGTGGACATTAACATTATAATATTAATATTCGTGTACACAAGTATTTGAGAACAGCTCAGACATAGCAATTTTTGCCTTCTTTTAATAGCCAGTGTTGGAAGTAATGCATTATAGTAACGCAAGTTTCATAATCAAATACTTTTTTCAAGTAACTAGTAAAGTAATACATTACTTTTAAATTTACAACAAAATATCTGAATTTAAAAGTGTACATTTACTCATCTCACTTGCACAAAAATGGATTCAGTATTCCTCAAAATGAAAATAAAAGAGTGAAATGCAAACTCAGAATATTACCCAAACCTGCTATATTTAAATATGTTAAATAACACAAATATACTACTTTATGTATTTAATCTCACTTTATTAACCAATATCTTTGCTCCTGACTTTAGATAATCCAATTCAACCATATGAATAAGCAAAAATGACAACAAATTTGTGTTTTATATTATTTTTATTGCCGAAGAGTGTTTTTTTTTTTAAACAAACAAGCAAGGCCAGCCCAGGTGAATAAAAACAACGCATTACTTTCCGTAAAAAGTAACAAAGTAACACAATTAGTCACTTATTTAGGGAATAACACAATATTATAATGCATTACTTTTAAAAGTAACTTTGCCCAACACTGATAATACCTCGTTCTTCTGACTATTCACAAAAGACTCCTTGAATTAAATAATAATGATATTTCTGTCTTTTACACTCTGTTCCACAGAGAGAGTGATTTGTAGTTTATGAGCCTAAATGCTTAAAGAGGGCAATATTCCTTTCACACAATCCTTCTCTAATCTTCATCTATTCTATACTCAAAGTTATAGTCTTGAGTGGATGCAGTGTCCAGTTCAAACCACAAGTCAAGCCAAGAGGCATCTGTTGTTGACATTGCTGTTGTGGTGGGTGGAGGTGTAGTCGCCGTTGTGGTTGGTGTTGTGGTAGTCGTGATGCCTTTCATCCTCTCCATTCTCATCTTACGCATGCGCATCACTCGTAGGCGACGCAGACGGTAGTTCTGGGGGGTCGCCGCGGCCCCTGCTGTGCTCTCGACGCTGACGCGGTTGTTTGTGTTTCCGGGGGTGTTGGTAACCAGTCTCGGCCTCTTCCCACTCTGGGCCATGATTTGTTGGATTCGAGCCCAGTTGGATTTGGTCAGAGTGAAGCTGCAGGGTGTAGCGTTGGCATCATAGCCCACAATGCAAAGACGAGTCTGAGAAGAATAACCATCCGCTCTTGCAGTAACACGATACTCGCCTGGGTTGAGAAGACGCCAGTAATCGCCAGTGGCAGCTTTGAGAAATAAAAGTCTGGATTAATATAACATACAATATACTACAAAGATATGTCCTAAGCAGGGATTCCCAAACTTTTTTGCCAGCCAAAACCCTTTGACCTAAAATATTTACTCTGTATTAATATTTATTTAATCTGAACAACATATTCTTTATTCTCTGATGTTGAATGGTCACCTGTATGTATATATATGGAAGCTCATTTCCACACAAAAAAAAAAAAAAAAAAAAAGATTTTACTAATCATAATTATGACATAAAAGTCAAAATTATAGCCATACTTATATTTACCCCCGGTTTCACAGACAAGGCTCAAGTCTCCGAGATTAAATGCATGTTTGAGCTGTTTTAACTGAAAACAACTTGCAGTGATATATCTTAAAATATGTCAGTGCCATTTTTGTCTCAAAATTCACACCAGTAATGCTTTTTAAGGCATGTTTATAAAAGCTTGAATGTCCTAATTTAACTAAGGCTTAATCCTGGCTCAATCTAAGCCCTGTCTGTGAAACCAGGCCAAAAAGTCAAAATTAAGACATATGAAGTTGGTAAAAAGTAAGAATTATAACATTAAAATTTAGAAATTAATGACAAAAATTTGAAATTTAGATTTAAATATGACATTAAATGCTAAAAACAATTGTCATAAAGTCCGTTATGACATAGAAAGTCATAAATTAAACTTTTTATGTCACAATTATGACTTTTTATGTCATGATTTCGATTTTTAATCTACTCTAAAAGGACAGAATGACAGAATGTCTGTTACCTGTTTTGACGTCATGTTTTATTCCCTCCACTGACACTGTTGCATTTGCTAGAAGATTCCCACCGACATCTCGCACAACCCCTTTAATGCCTCGATGTACCTGCGGGTCAAATACATTATACGTTTTTTTAAACTTTGCTGTTATACAATGTGCAGCCACTATGTCACACAGAGATCTGAATTGAATGTGTCTTGTGACCTGTTCAATGAAAGCCAGCAGAGCCTCTCGGTTGTTTTCCCACTCTGACGCCAATTCGCTTTCATGTGGAAACTTATCACACCCAAGAAAGATGGAAATCTCAAAGCAGTTGGTGTGCAGGTAGCTGAAATCGTTCATGCCTAAAGAAACACAGAAAAGTTTAATTGTAAGATGAGTTTTTTTCCTTTACAGATAATAAAGGGGAGTAAGTTTACATAACTTAACAGGAACTTGACTTAACTTCTTTGTTATCTGTGTAAATTAAAGGGATAGTTCACCTAAAACTGGAAATCCTATCATTTATTCCTCTCCCTCATGTCGTTCCAAACTAATATAAGAGTTTCGTTCATCTTTGGAACACAAATGAAGATCTTTTAATGAGATCTAAGAGATTTCTGTCCCTCCATTGACAGCTACACAACTACCACTTTGATGCTTCAAAAAGTTCATAGAGGGATCGTAAAACTAATTCATATGAATTGAGCGGTTTAGTCAAAATTTTCTAGAGAGAAACAATCACTTTATATGATGAACAGATTGAATTTAGGATTTTGTTCACATTTAAACATTGATCAGCGAACATAAACAGAAGATTAACTGAACCTGCTTGACATGTGAGAGCAAAACCTCAACTGCTGTGTAACACAAGAATGAACCTCATTGGTTCTTGCTGAAGCTCAAACGTGCTGCGTAACACATGAATGAACCTCATTGGTTCTCACACGTCAAGCTAACATGCTTGAGCTTCTGTTTCTCACCACCGATGTGTGAGTTGATGAATTAACTTAATATTGATTCGAATTTTTTGAAGCGTCAAAGTGGTGTTGCTGCCAATGGAGGAACAGAAATCTCATCAAAAATTAGAAATCTCATCAACTTCATTTGTGTTCTGTTGATGAACTAAACATTGCATGTTTGGAACGATATGAGGGTGAGGATCTGACAGAATTTCCATTTTTTTGGTGACCCTTTAATACTAGGCGTATGTTTACACAGAACATAGAATTTCTTTTTTTAAATCGTTACATACTGCCCACAACCGGCTTCCAGCTGGCCCGGTTGATGATGCCCTGACCGCCCGTGATGTCATCGGTGTGGCAGGACCCGCGGTGGTTCTCCGTCAAGGTCAGGTGACTGTGCGCGTACGTCATGGCGAGCCACCGAAACAGGTTTTCGTCCGCCGTCTCGCGAAGAGCGCCCTCGTTCTGTCGCTGAATCCTGGCCCATGTTTCTTCGTTCATGTGGTGGTACTCAAACCCCGGCTGACCCCCCCTGCTGTCCGAGCCCGTGGCCCGGGGTGGACGCTGCATGTCGAAGGGGTACGTGACGATCTTCTCTCCGCCCTGGAAATTAGCGCCCAGAACAAACGGTGTCCTCTCCATCCAACTGATGATTGCTTTTGTTTCAACTGCGACCTAGAGTGCAGGTTTGATTTGTTTTGTAAATGAAACTCTGGAAGATAAATTACTGACAGAACTAGTCTGCCTTCAAAATTAGTTTTAGCTTTGTTTTCCAGTGAAAAATATCTGAAACATCCTTGCAACAGTTTTTTGACAGGCTACTTGACAAGAAAAAAATGTGTTGCAGAAAATCAGTGTTGGGTAAGTTACTCTAAAATAATTAATTACTACCCACTAATCTTCAACAGTGTAATCAGATTTCTCTCTCTAAAAAGTATCAGTTGAACAATACATAGACAGACATGAAACTACTCTTGTAATCAATTCAAATAAATAATATAAAAGTAGAAAAAATTAGGGCTGTCAAACGAATAATCGCGATTAATCGCATTCAAAATAAAAGTTTGTGTTTACATAATATATGTGGGTGCACTGTGTATGATTATTTTATATAAATACACACACATGCTTGTATATATTTAAGAAATGTTTCCATGTATATACTGTATCTAGATTTATATATCATTTATATTATATATAAGTATAAATATTTTACATGTAAAAAATATTTTTTTCTTAAATATACAAGCATATGTGTGTATTTATATACAGTATATACAAAATAATTATACACAGTCCTAAAAAAAAAAAGAGATGTAAGTAAAAAAAAGTATATTTCAATGCATGCTTTTCCATTCACTTGCAAAAATGTAGCAAAACTATTGCCTTATCTCAATCAACTTTGTTCGCTCAAAAAAGCACTGAAGTATACAGTATAGTAGTTTCCCTTTACGAACAAACGTGAAGTTTGCAAAAGCATTGAAATCTAATTTCCCCTCCTATCTCATTTTTGTAAATATAACCATGCATTATTTAAATTTTTAAATATTTTTTTACTGTTGTATTTGTCTGGATTTTGAAAAAAAAAAAGTATTGAAAAAGATTGCTATTGTTTTTGCCACTGAATTAAAAAAGAGTAATTGCAACTTTTTATCTCACAATTGCAAGATTTAAACTCGCAATTGAGAAAAAGTCTGAATTGCATGATAAAAAGTCATAATTATCTTTTAAAGTTTTTATTCTGTGGCAGAAACAAGCTTCCATAGATTGCTCAATCAATTTAGCCATCTACCCAACTATTTACTGATTGATTTAGATTTTTTTAAATCATTACATTCTTTCCAAACTTAAGTAAGATCTGTCTAAATTGACTTGAAGGCAGCTTTGTGTCTAGGCAGGGCTCTTTCTTCGGTTCCACTCACAGAGCCATTGAGAAAATTCTCAGGCATGGGAATATGGTGATTGGGAACGATCCGTGGCACCCATCCCCTGTCCTCCGCACCCCACAGGACACTGTTCAGGTCTGGGAAATTCTGGAAAATATCGTATCCCTCTTCTGTCCAGTGGCCCAAAGCCCAGTTTCCCATTTCAGAGCCCTAGACAAACAAGTATCCACCCAAGAAAACAATGAGTCACATGATGGCATGGGCCGAGAACAGGGATTATTTGTTTAAAGTGTGTCTCACCATCTCGAAGGCCAGCTCATAGGCGTCAGGGTTCAGGGACGGCACTAGATGGATGCGCACTCCTTCCACAAGGCGGCGCACTCGCGGATTGTCGTCATTGTATTCTTTACATAGGAACTGCATCAAGAGCAGCACAAGTTCCCTGCCCAGCACTTCATTCCCATGAAGCCCTGCGGTGTACCGGAATTCTGGTTCACCTTAGAAAAACATGGTTTGATGCGGTGGGAGCAAATTAGTGATTGACCAATCAATTGGCCATTAAACAAAAAAATATTTGTAGGCTATTTTATACATGGCGAGGTGCAAAAGTTTGAGACCACATTGAAAATATGGGAACTTTTTTTTTCATTTAAATAAGTTTTAGAATTAGAAAAAGGAAAGTATGAAATATTACCTTTCAGATGCACAATTTCTATTAAAGTCCCCCTGTGGTGAAAATCAAGTTTTTAATGTTGTTTATATGTCTATGTGGTGTTTTTAATATGCTTTAAGTCAAACCATGTATAAATTCAGTTGACAGCATTGCTGAGTATTTCTCCTTAAAACTGCAGTGTACCAAAGACAGTTTTAAAAACACGGTTTGAAATCACTGGTGTTTCTGACATCACAAATGACCTTCAGATCACCAATCAATATCCAATCAGATCAATGTGTGATCGCCAACCAGTGGATCTCTGAGTGGAGGTGGGGCTCATTTGCATATTCATAGAACCTCATATACTAAATGAGGCATGGGTGTAGAGTTACATTCAAGCTATTTTTAAGCCATGAACAATTTTTTTTTCAAGGAAAAAACATTGAAATATGTCAATTTGGTGTTCAAAGATGAGTTTAAGGGATACAATTGACTACAGGGGGACTTTAAAATGGCAGGCTAGGTTGACACAGATCTATCACAAGAGGAACCCCTCTTAGGAACTACCTGTCTCATGTTCTCCAGGGTTATCTGAGATCTCCATGGCGTACATCTTCAGGCCTTGGGAGCTTTTTCCGATGTTGTATATTCTGGTGATGTTGGGACATTCTTCATTTATGACCTTCATCATCTGTTTATACACACATACATGAAAACACTTGCAGGACAGCAGCTTTTCCACAAGATTACAAAAGAGAGTCCAAACTTCACTCTGGACGTGTTGTGACGTGCATCTGAACCTCAGCTTTGACCTTGAGAATACCTGTGTGTCTGTAAACGTCTCACCTGTCTCATCTCTTTGTAGTTGTGATGCCTGTAATCGAGATCATCCGTCGGTGGAACGTCGTTCTCAGTTGGATAGCTAGCTGGTAAGAGAGACTCATTTGAGCTTATAGACATACATGACAAAAATATGATGAAAAACAAAAAGTTTTTTGTTTGAAAAAAATTTGAAATCACATTTAGATGTGTAATGGTTTATAAATGAAAGCCAATTTCTGTCATATATAATTTTAGACTTTTTAAGACTTCCATGACAAAATATAATAAAAAATATTGTAAATTGAAAAAGATTTTTATTTTAAATTTTCTTAAATAGAAAAATATGATTTAGATATGGAAGCCCATTTCTTCCACATAAGAAAAACAAATGTTTTGGTTAGTCATAATTATGAGATGCAAAAGCTGTGATTATGAAATAAAAAAGATTAAATTATAAGATAAAAACGTCCTAATTATGACATACTAAGTCATGAGCTAAAAATTCAGTATTATGAAATAGTCTAAATTATAAGGAGATAAAAGTTAATAATTATGAGATAAGAGACATATGGTCATACAAATGGGGGTCAAAATTATGAGATTAAAATACTCAGAATTATTAGATTAAAAAAATCTAAATTAATCCATGGTAAGTCAATGATGAGATAAAAAGTAAAAATTATATAATTTAAATACTTTTGAGATTCAAATTGTTGACATGAGTTAAAATTAGTCTTCGAAGTCACAATTTTGACTTTTTATTTTGTCATGCTCATTTTGACTTTGTTTTGGTAAAAACTTATTAGATTCATGTCAAAATAGAGTTAGAGTTCCAAGAGGTTTTTTGGATTAATATCATGTATGAATGTCATAACCATGGCTTTAAAAAAGCATAAAGAAGTAGAACAGTAAAGGAAACTGGTTACGGCCACGTCATATGAAAGTGTATTTCAGAGCAGTATCAAGACAAATGGGTGGAGCGTGAAGTCCAGATCCCCTCTCTCTATGTAATTTGGGTCCAACCACACCCTACCCCACCCATAACACTATTCCCTCCACCCATTAGATCCACACAGGTGGAGATGGACCATGACGTTGAGAGGGACAGAGCTGGATGTCATTTGGCTCTTCAGTGAGCAGGCTCAGGTGAGAGCAGCAGTGCTTACTGGGTAATGGGCATCCGAGCACTTCTATCCTCATGCACAGGCTGCCGTTCCAGCTCTGCGGGAGAATACGGATGTAACGCGCCACCACAGGATACGAGAACTCTGTCATTACTGGAGTGTCTTTATCCACATTCCCATAAAAGAGCTGTAGGATGAAGAAGAATGAAACAGGTTTTGGCCATGCAAGATGCTTGACATTAGGAGTGGAACGGTACATGTATTCGTCCCCAATTGTTTTTTTTTTTGTTTTTTTTTACTCTCAAGATATGTATTATTATAATAGAATTTATAGCATATACACATTTGTTTGAGAAAAACAGTTCAGGATTTAGCATTAAGCTTTGTATTAGTAGAAAACCTCTAGTATTTTCGAATTACCATGCTTTCGATCCCCCTGAGAAGAGAGATTTATGTATTTTTTGTCTGGAAAAAATCCTCCGATGAAGTAAAAATTGTCATTTTGCGTCATCTGAGGATTTTTTGTCCAGAGGCTAAAGACTACAGTCAGTAGTAGGTTTTATCTCGCATGTTTTTTTCACAGGGATCTCACTCACAGAATGAACACATAGTGTCGGACATCTTTTTTTTGAAGCTAAGCTAGCAGGCTCTTGTTCTGTGGAGAAAGCTGAGTAGTAGGGGTTACCATCCGCTTTTTCCCGGACATGTCCGGCCGTCGATGTCCGGGATTCAGCTTTTGCTTTCTGCAGTCGCCATTCATTGTTTACATGCACAGCTTTTGTTTCAATCTAACTGAATTCATTCCGATTGGTGAATCTGAATGTAGTGTTTACATGAACTTTACATGAAGCTTAATTTATCATTTAAAGGGTTAGTTCACCCAAAAATGAAAATTCTGTCAGTATTTACTCACCCTCATGTTGTTCCAACCCCGTAAGACCTTCGTTCATCTTCGGAACACAAATTAAGATATTTAAGATGTTAAGATCGCTCCTGCATACTAGTCCATAGGCTTCTTGAGGGAATGACTTGCTGGCCTCGAAAAGTCATTAAAGACATCGTTAAAATAGTCCAAGTGACTACAGGGGCTCAATCTTAAGTTTATCAAACGACGAGAATACTTTTGTGCGCAAAAAAATAATGACTTTATTTCAACTATTCGTTTATTTCTCCCTCTGCGCGAGTCAGGTTACTAGTTTAATAGCGTAAGCTTCTGTTATTGTACGTCACATGCATCAGCGTCCAGCGCCGGCCAATAGTGAGCCTACGTGTGACGTAGCTTTACACAATCACACAACGTTAACTGACTACAGGCCCATGGAGAAGGAAGTGAATAGTTGAAATAAAGTCGTTATTTTTGTTATTTTTTTGCGCACAAAAGTGTTCTCGTCGTTTGATAAAGTTAAGATTGAGCCCCTGTAGTCACTTGGACTATTTTAACGATGTCCTTTAATGACTTTTGGAAGACCAGCAAGAGTCATTCCCTCAAGAAGCCTATGGACTAGTATGCAGGAGCGATCTTAATATCTTAAATATCTTAATTTGTGTTCCGAAGATGAACGAAGGTCTTACGGGGTTGGAACAACATGAGGGTGAGTAAATACTGACAGAATTTTCATTTTTGGGTGAACTAACCCTTTAAACAAGTGATCGGTTGATGTGCGTTTTAACATTGCTAAAAAAAATTCCCGCTCCTCCGTGAGAGATACGAGACCGGTGCGTCTCACAGCTTTTCTCAGTCTTGAAAGCTCCAAATTCAAAAATAATTTCACATTTCTTCTACATAATGACCAATTTTAAATACACATTCATCTCTCAAGAGGTGAAGTATCCGTTTAATTAAAAAAACGAAACCCGTTGTGAACCGTGACTTCAATACCGAGGCAAGTACCGAACCGTCATGTTTGTGTACCGTTACACCCCTATTGACTATAATACAGTTTAATGCCTGTTTTAACATAAAGTCTATGTGAACTGACCCACTCGGCGTAACCATCATGGAGCACCGTCCATTCACGGCTGTCGTTGCTGAAGGCCACGAAATACGATGACACAAAGTCGTTACTGGAAGAGAGAAGGAAGCATCTCCTTGTCTTTCTGCAACACTTGTTATCAGAAAAGTCTGAATGTTTTGACTCCGTATCTCTTACTGTGTCTCTGAGTTCCTGCCCTGCGTAATGACCCCTGTGAACTCCACCTCTCGACGGGCGTCCACCTGAAACCAGTGCTCCTTCTCCTCCGTATCAGCACACCACGCTCCGCCGTAAACATCCTCCTCATAAGCTGAGTTCTGCAAAACAGATGCTCACTTTAAAATCGCTGTTTTCTTATGCTTTAATTATTTCCTCATGACCCTGAACTTGCAATACTCACATGAGCCCCACAGCTTAACGTGTCAATGCATTACATCTGTCTTAAATGCTCTCAAAAGTACTATAGTCAAAGTCCTTTTAAAAGGGTGGTATAATGCTTCACAAGATGTAAAATAAATCTCTGATGTCCCCAGAGTGTGTATGTGAAGTTTTAGCTCAAAATATATTTCTGAATAGCATGTTAACAAGTTGTCACTTTTTGAGGGTGAGCAAAAACGCACATGTGCCTGGCCCTTTAAATGCAAATGAGCGGCTGCTCCCGGCACAGAGGGCGGAGGTTCAACAGATCGTGTCCTTTTACCTCACACACATCACATGGACTGAAATTTTCAAAAACTTTTAGCTTTTTATGTTCAAACCGGAGTTAGAAAGATGGAGAGACTCAAGACTCAAGAAGAAGGGACAACATGTAGACAACATTTCTAGTAATTAGTAGAAGTTATCTTCTAGTAATTTATTAGCATATTCTGTCTTGATAATCTTTAAATCGTGTTCCAGGGGGCGGGGTTTATGTGAATTTTAGGGTTTGTGGCGTCACTAACCCGGGGAGGAATGTCATGTAGTCCCTTCCAGTCATTTGTTGTAGTCCTTAAAAAAACGGTTTCTTTAAAAGCAAATATCTCCCTTTGCTTTGAACTTTGAGCGTTGTAACTTTGCAGATGTTGTTTATGCTCAAACAGCAACATTACACACTAACTAAATTTATTTTTTATTAAACAGCTTAAATTTCTATTTAATCCTCTCATCTTAGGTATTTGTGCACAGTATTGGCTAGTTTTGGCATGAATTTGATTTTGAATATTGCAAAATAATATATATTTTTTTTTATCTCAACTTTCTTCAAGATACATTTACGTGAGAGGAAATATTACATGAGATATTAAGTCTTGTTTTCTGAAAATATATATATATAAAAAATCTGCCAGTGAATTTGAATTAACATTATTTTTCTGACCCCATTGGCAGATATTTTTTTCTTGTTTTAAGCAAAAACTATTAACTTTTATTTTTTCTTCCAGAAAACAAGCCTTTTCCATCTCAAGCAAATGTATGTATTTGTAGTAAGTACTGGAATATTTTCAAGTATATTTTGTTTTGAGTTTAGTTTAATTTATTTATATCAGGACAATGTGCAGTTACGTTTAGCATTACATTACATTACAATTTCCATCTGTAGTCCTACACACTTAAAGCTACACTGTGTGATTTTTATCCCCATCTAGCGATGAAAAGGTATATGATCATCCAGTAAATATTAGTTTTTGTTCTTCTCAATTCCGATTTCGTTTTAACTCCTACGGTGGCCAATGTAGTCCAAGATTAACATGGCTTCCAGTTCGACCTCGTCCATGAGTGTTAACTCAAACGTAAACGCGAAAGGCGAAGCTTCAATTAACGGGTATGTCCCTCTTTGGCTAATGTACTTTCAAGATGGAGGGGCAACATGGCGACCGACTTACCCGTATGTATTTTCAATGGCATATTATACACTCACGAGAATATTGTATTACTTGAACAAACTAAATATACATTAATGAGCACATATATTTTTGAAAGAACAAAGTGTTTTTAGCTAAGAATAAACTAAAATAGTTACACAGTGTAGCTTTAAATAAAAGATCCAGCTATTATCCTCCTAACAATATTCGAATTCTTGTGAAACTGTAATGTGGTTTGACTGTGTATGTACCTGCATGTTAAGACGTCCTCTCAGAGCTGAAAATCCAAGATGAGACATAGAAGATGCCAGTATCTGATCGTCCTCCACGCGATGGGACTCCATGCCAAGAGGAGGACACTCTGAAGGACGAGAAACACTGTTTCATTCTTTCTGAAAGGCTCCTAAATCCTATGATAAGAGCACTGACAGCTTTCTCTGAGCAGATGTATATTTCAGACACTGACTATCTCTCATTTTTTACAGAGGAAAACCATTTGTGCTGAACAAAGGCTGAAGCTGGAGCCAACAGCCAGAAACTCCAGCTGGAAACCAAAGTCACTGTGGGGGAAGAACATGTCGGCTCTGACATTTACCGCCTTCAGCTCAGAGTCTGAACTCACAGAAAACCACTTCTGCATTTACACTACGAGACTGTGTGTTTTGCTCTGATTATAATGTGATTTGTGGCTGTTTTCCAGAAATACTCACTCTTTGGCTCGGCATGAAGAGGCATCTGCTTTCTCTTCTCCTCCTCCTCCTCTTCCCACATCTTCCGTAGTTTTTCCGCTGTGTAAGGTAATTGAGAGACTTAAAATGGTTGAAACTGGTACGTCTTTGTTGTTTTTACCTATTGAATAAATGCCAGCACAACTCAGAGAGAGAAATGTGCTAAAAACTAATCTCACAAAGTTTATTTATGAATCTCACGAACACATTTTTTTAAAGAAACTGCAGCCTGTTTTGCATTTCAACATTATTTCCAGTTTTACATTATTTGCAAAAATACTTAAGCATGCATTCCTCATGCATTGCGGAACTTATTTATTTTCTGTCATAGTAAAAACTCACAAAAATACAAACAGAACAGCTAAATGCTTTCTAATGAATAAATAACAATGGCATTTTTCACTACATCTCAGCTGGTCAACGTATGCATGCAATCAAAGCCCATTTGAACAAACATTAAACTGATTTACAGACCCTTCTCCTCTTTGGCCTTTCTGGCTCTTTCTAGCTCTTCTTCCAGCTTCTTTGCTGCCACTGATTATTCAGAGAGAGCAAATAAGTATAAAAATAGTCTATGCATTTAAAACATGACAGATTCAAGATCTTTGAGAACGATTGAAATGGTGCAAACGTACAGTCAGCATAATCATATTCCTCGTACCAAGGGGCGATTGTTCGAGGGGTGGTAGTGGTTTCCTCTAGATGAAAAAGATTTATTTGACAAATGTGAGTAATAGAGAACATAACATGGTGTTTATTTGCAATCATTCATGCTTTGCATTCCTTGCTCATATGCTGTTTGCATTTTCACATTGGTGCATAAATGAAATTGCATGTGTGATGTTTGCATAAATTGTGTGGTATTTGCTTGTATTTTGCACCACCTGATCCTATAGAGATCCTATTTATGGAAGCAAATAAGAGAACTATTTGAAATTTAACAGCCACTGAATACTTAGTTTTGAAATATTTTATTTTGAAAAACATTTATCTGAATTTATTTGCTCTGAATTTACCACTTTGAAATTATTTTACTTTGGAAACCATGCATCTGAATTTATTTGTTTCGCATTTACCTCTGAAATTTAAACAGGCCTATGAAAATTGTTGATTTTTATTTTCAAAACCTGAATTTAGATTAATATTTTTCAATGCTTCCAAATTGAGATAAAAAAAAAATCAATGTACAGAATTTCAGATAAAATATGAGCATGTTTTACCTATCCTGGGTTGGACGAATATGTAACTTGAATTTTTTTTATCTGAATTTGAGCAGTCAAATTTGATCAACCTGAATCTGCAATTCTGTAAGTGTAATTTACAGAATCTGTAATCTGTAATTTGTGAACATTGAAAAAATTCATCGAAATTCAGGTTATTAAAATGGAAATCAAGAATTTTCATAGACCTGTTTAAATTTCATATAAATAAATTAAAAAAAATAATAATTTGAATTTAAAGTAAATTCGAAATAAATAAATTCAGATGCGTGGTTTCCAGAGTAAAACAATTACAAAGGGGTAAATTGAGAGCAAATAAATTCAGATAAATGTTTTTCAAAATAAAATATTTCAAAACTAAGTATTCAGTGGCTGTTAAATTTCAAATAATTATGTCTCTAATTTGCTTCCATACTGGTGTTGCTATTGAGTGGTTTCTATCATGTTGCTATGGTTTCTTTTGTGTTACAAGTACCAACTTTTCAAGTGTTGTTACCTGGGATTGGTAAGTATATACTTGGGTCATCAGTCCTGGGTGGCTCCTTGACTTTAGGGATGAGGTCGGGCTCTTGAACTTCATCTAGCAAGTGATCAAATAGTTTATTAGTAGTAGTATTTTGAGAATTTGACGCTAATGTACATTGCTTCAAACATACGTCGGGCGTCCCAGTAATCCGCGTCTAGCTCTTTGATTGAGGGTGTCATGGTGTCTTTCTTGCTGTCTACGTCTACTGTAAGAAAAAAACGAGAGATAACCAAAGAGAAATATTGTGACTACCCAGCTAACGGAATGTTCTCAGAACGTTGGTGTTGTGAACAAACATTCTTCCAGTAACGTTATAGAATGTTCATTCAAAATTGTTTCAGAATGTTCAAAAAACATTTAAAATAGTGTCACAAAATGTTTGCAAAATGATAAAACTGAATTTTTCCTTGACGTCCATATTTCATCTCATCAATATTTGGTATCATGACTTTTTATATCATACTTATGATTTACCAAAGCATGATTTTTTTGTATGTGGTGGAAATGGGCTTCCATAAATATGGAATTAAAGGGAATGAAAGGTGAAGTGTGTCATTTCGGCACCAGCATGATGCTGAGGATTTCCAGGTGGTTTCTTCTCCAAGTCTCTGATGCTTTGGTCTCAGATCTGTTCTTCAACATAAGTCTGTGGGATTTTAGTTTTTTTTACCACATTGTTTACACTCCTCGGGAAGTCAATGTACCATAGACTTATAATTAGGCCCACTCGGAAGCTCTAAAGACTTCCACAAAACTGAGATCTGAAGGCTGAAACAAGCTCAAAAGTCTTGGGATTGGATAAAGTTCTGACACACTTCACTTTTGACATGTTTTGCAATGTGGCTAATTCTCTATGTGTTGTATATACCATGATCTGGGCCAATGGGTTTCTTCATCTCTGTCTCCCTTGGTGGTTCTGTTGGAAATACTAAGCATAGAAACTGTATTTAAAGGCCACATTAGGAGTCACTTTATAATAATAATGTGCCAGAAGATTGTATAAACATACACGTGTCCCATCCCAGCTCCAAGAGCAGTTTCTCCTCCTCTTCCTCCATGGTTGACTTTCTGGTTGGTTTAGTTTCTTTGGTTGTTGGCGTTGTGGTGGGCTTCAATGCTTTCAGCTTTTTGGTGGGTTTTGGAGGCTTTGGCTTCTTGGTGGGCTTTGGGGGTTTGGGTTTCTTTGTTGGTTTTGGAGGTTTGGGTTTTTTGGTGGGCTTCGGTTTCTTGGCTTTGGCTTCCTTCTCAGCCGCCTTCTTTGCCTTGGCTAGACAATAAATGAGAGAATGATATAAATACGTAAGGACATCACTATTAATCTAATGATGTGCAGCAGAGGATGAAAGCTGTTTTGATGCATTTATGTTAAAGATATGATGCTTTTCCATAAACAGAGCAAAAGTTGCTCACACGTTTGTCCTAAACTTCCTTCCGATACAATTTGTGCTTTTCTTTTGTACAGGCTCCTGTTTTATTCACGCATAAAGATGTCACACTGACGTGCTGCCTATTTAGACGGCCGCTTTGAGTCAAACTCAAATTGAACAAATCAAAGAGGAGCTTTTATAAAGTTTTACGGCTGTCATAAACTACTGAAACCACTCTGATGGTGGAAGCAACACTTGAAATACTATCAGATTAAATCCAGACCATGGAAACACAAATAAATCACTGCTTGGACTGGAAGTCATCCCTCCTTTCATATATGAATTATTAGCTTATGTTTAAAGATTTAACTTCAGCACAGTTACCTAAGAGGTCTATTTAATATCTGCTGTTTCTCCTTGACAGCAATGAGATTAAATATAAATAAACCGTGGAAATGGAAACTTTGCATTAGAAAAGAACGGCGTATAAATTGCTGGTGAATTCCTCAAATAATTAACAAGAAACAACAAGTAACACATTTGATTAAACATTGTAAAAATGAATGCGCTTTATCTAATCAAAAAAAAAAATTGGGGCGAAATAAGCGATATTATTAATTCAATTTAACAAATTAGAATTGAGTAATAATTATTCAAATTAATTCCTTAAAAGTAAACCATTTAAAATGAGTAAAACGTACCAAAAAAACGTACATTTAAGTCGCCATTATGGTGATCGGTGTTTGTTTTAGGTTTCTCCTTTTTAAACTTTACTCACTTTAAATGGTTAACTTTTAAAGAATAATTTGATTAATTATTACTCAATTCTAATTTGTTTAATTTAATTAATAATATTGCTTGTAATCTCTTGCCAATTTTATTGATTAGATAAAACGTATTCATTTTTTACAGTGTACATTTTGAAGTTGAAAGTGTAGTATTTTTGTGTAAAACATACTCTTTGATAATAATCTGTTTTTACAACTAAAAAATCAGTTTCTACAGATTTCTCCTCTAGAGTTTCGGAGGAGATCTTAACAATGTCTCGAACTTAGATCTCAATATGGACAGCTTTTTACACTTACTGGATGTCAACTATTGACTCATTTTGGTCTGTTTTTGTCTCCTGAAATTTCAGGAGAAACATCCGAGACAAAGTTAAACCTACAAGATAATTGAGATCTTCCGAGCTACAAAAGACCGATAAAATTTCCCTGCGGATGATGTGCAACTTCCTCCTGTTGATAGTTTTCAGGCTGCAGCGATTGAAGGAAAGCTGGCACACACACACACAGCCGTCTCAAACAAGTGTTTCAATTCAAACCAAATGTCGGCTCTGTCTCTCTTCCTGTCTGTGTCTCCCAAACCTCACAGGACCGCAGAAGGAGAGAGGAGCCCACCGAATGTTTGTTTTCGTATTCAAAACCTGTAGTGTTTTCAGAAACCATCTGTGATTCTCATTCAACCCTTTTCCAGCTCACAACTGTAATTTCATTCCCACATGCCTCCTTCATGTTTTTTTTTTCCCAAATGAAAGACAAAAGGAAGAAAAAACGACAGCAGAAAGTGTGTCAGTGAACTGACCAGTCATGGTTTCTCTAAAAATGTTGCATAACCTCAAAGGAGCCAGTAAAGCTTTTGTCTGAGCCAGATATCTGTCATTTTGACAAATCACAGCCTTACATGAAACTGGGCTGCAAACACCAAAAACATCATGAAGTCTAAAGTTGTATTCAAAGTTGAGCAAGCAACTTACCAGCTAATAACTCTTCAGATGTCTTTTTTCCCTTTGGTTTTTCCTTTTCAGCCATTTCTTCTGCTCCAGGCTCGTCCATCTGAGTGTCTTCTGAAAGTCCATCGTGTAGATCTTCTCTTTTCGAAATAACGCCGCTGTTTTGCCTCATTTGGACGCTTCTGGTCCTCTGTTTGGACTTGGCAGCATTAACCAACTCTTCATTGATAACAAACGTCAAAATCCAGCACAGGGCAAATAAGGTTGCATACAGAGAAACCCTTGGTGCCTTCATGGTCATCTGGGACCTTCTACTCCAATCCTACAATTTAGAGATGGTCTCTCTTTGAATGGTAAGTGTGCAACAGTTGGAAAAGCAAAAACTGGATGGCTTGGACTCGTCAGGTTGTTTATGAAAAGTAGTTCATCCAGATGTTTGGATATTCTTGGATTATCTGCAGGAGATGGTGTCAATGAAGCTGCTGTGGAAGTCAGATGTAAGGGGATTGTGGCTGTTTTTCCTTCTTTCAGTGGAAAGGAATTCCTCTGACATCCCCCTCTGAGTGAGTGAGGAGCAGGACAAACCCACAGAGAAAAGGAGGAGGAGACAGAGAGAGAGAGAAAGAGAGAGAGAGAGAGAGAGTGTACACTTGTGTTCAAAGGTTTGTAGAAAAGTAAGACAGTCTTTGCTGCTTAATATTTTGTGGAAACCTTTATACATTCAAAAGTTTGAGGCGAAGTAAGATTTAACACTTATATTGTGTTTTTGGGTCATTTTAACCCGTTATATACTGTAAAATAATATGTTCATGATTTGTAATCACAACATTTTATCTTTTGTCAAATCAACTTAAATTATTTATGTAGTTCAGATAACATAATATTTTGAGTTTCTGATGATTAAATCACTCTCCTTCATTGTATTAACTCATTTTTTCCCATTTCAATGAACTTAAAATTTTAAGGCAGACAGGTTACTTCATTTTTTAAGTTAAACCAACAATATTTTACACTGATTTCTCTTACACAGGGTTTAACTAATTAGTTAAACCCTGTGTAAGAGAAATCAGTAAGTTTAGTAAAAAAAAAATATTGTTGGTTCAACTTAAAGTAAGTAACCTGCATGCTGCCTTAAAATTTTAAGTTCATTGAAATGGAAAAAGTGAGTTAATATGAAGGAGAATGATTTAATCATCAGAAACTCAAAATTATATGTTATCTGAACTAAATAAATTATTTGAACTAAAAATTATCAGAACTAAAAAAAAGTTGATTTGACAAAAGAAAAAATGTTGTGATTACTAATCATGAAAAGATTTTTTTTTTTTTACAGTTTGGGTCATTTTTGTAATTTTTGGGGATTTTAACTTCATGTTACACTTTGACCGAGTTCCCGGTCAAAAATAACCTGTCTACAAAAAATTGCGAATACATTTCTTGTTATAATATTATCAGCAAATATTGGATTCAATCTTTTTCCTTCTTTCAGTTTTTGTGTTTATTTTTGAAACTGAGAGATAGTTTGATCTGAGCTGATGCACCTCAGTTTTTGAGTGAAAAAAGCAGTATTAATGAACACCATGATAACTAATCAAAAATTAGGAAGCAAATAATCATATTAGAGTGATCATGTAAGTAATGATGCTGAAACTTTAGCTCTGATCACATGAATTATATTTTCAAATATGTTCAAATAGAAAACAGTTCTTTTAAACTGTAATAATATCTCACATTACTGTTTTTACTGTATTTTTTATTAAATAAATCCTGCCTTGGTGAGCAGAAGAGACTTCTGGAATTTAATTGAGTTCATACTTTAATACACTGGTTAGATTCAGCAGAAGGTACAAATGCTGATCTAATCTTTTTTTGTAGTTTTTTTTTGTTGCTTTCATTACAAACTTTCATTTTTGAGCAAATGAGATGAAACCAAAATAAGTACCAAATAAGGTCTAAAAGTCTTTGAAGAGAGTCTCCTTTGCAGAAATGGCACAGATCTGCCTTCATGATTTTGGAAAAACACACTCAGTCAGTGGTCGTTTCTTAATATTTCGTCTCTTAACCTTCAATGGTTGTCAAACATGTTCGCTCCTCAACTTTTCCTTGTAGAGCTAATATATATTTTATTGAAACCAACACATTTATGACTCCATTCCTGGTTAGACTTGCATGAACAAATTCAGAATGTGGGAAATTAAAGAATCTTCTATACGGTTCTCTTGCAACCATGAAAAGCAACTATTTATTGATGGTGCCAACGGACATCTGACGTTAATCAGGTCCATGTGCTGAATTACAGACAGATGTGTTTCTGCTGGAGTCTTTTAAAACGTTTGCTCATATTCATCATCTTCTTCCATCATGAGCCAGGAGACTGTAGTCGTGACTCAGTTCTGCTCTTATCATCTGATTTCCTGTCTTTCTGCCCTCCATCTGTGAATTAATCTGCTGTTGGTTTTAATTCACTCGTTTGTTACTTTCAGTTTCCATAACACTTATATATTAACTTATTTCATCAAGTCTAAATCAGCATCATATTTTGGGAAATATGAGTGGAACAGTGGAATTCAGCAGATTTCATTGACTAGCTGCTTAGTGGAAATGACAATTTAGTGCCCAATTGGCACTAAGGGGCCTAAAGTGTGCCAAGAAAACATCCCCCACACCATTACACCACCACCACCAGCCTGCACAGTGGTAACAAGGCATGATGGATCCATGTTCTCATTCTGTTTAAGCCAAATTCTGACTCTACCATCTGAATGTCTCAACAGAAATCCAGACTCGTCAGACCAGGCAACCATGTTTCATAAGCATTTTAATTTGAAACTAATTATATTGTGTTTCCACTGACCTTACATATAACTTTGTGAAACGGCAAAACAAGACAGTCGAAAGTGCAAAAATATAAACTTTATTGTAATATTTCAATTACTTGCATTTAAAATGAGGTATAAATATAATTGTCAAAGGCATTATAAATATTATGACAAGGAGTTAAAAAATATAATATAAAATATCACATTAAATATATAGCTGTCATTCATTCACTTTTAAAAACACTTTCTTCAGTGTTGAGCACATTTGAACAAAAAATTACAGATTAAAAAAAAAGTTACTGGTTCTTTAGATCAGCATACTGGTTTCTGTACAACACGCTAAAAATGTTCTCTGATGGCATAGATCAGAACATCATGAGGGTCTGGTGATGGTAAGATGGGTTCAGGTAAGGTGTTTGTGGTGCTGGGTAATAATGCACAGGATTTGCATGATGTCCTGCGTACAGAAAAGTGTTCTGCGCAAAGGCAGGAGGTGCACAATGGTTCTGCTCCTCTCCTTCTTGGCCTTCTTGTTCCTTCTTCCATTTGGTGCGCCGGTTCTGAAACCAGATCTTGACCTGTGTTTCAGACAGACGGAGGGCTGTGGCGATGCAGTGACGCTCAAACACGGACAGATAGTGGCTGTTCTGGAAGCTTCGCTCCAGGATGCGCAGCTGATCCAGTGTGAACGCGGTGCGGATCCGCTTTGACTTTCCCTTTGTGCCGGGGATGTCCTGAGATGAAGCTGCCTTGACAGTGTCTTTATTTACTGAAATGTGAGAAGTTTCCAATTACAACATTATAATCAGTGAATTATTTCATTTAAAGTGTATTGTGGCACCCCAGCTAACAAATATGCTTTATTAACTTTTTGCTAGTAATGAAATCGTTCAACACGTCCAGTTGTTTTAAACGTTTTGAAAACATTTTTGACTATTCGAATTCGAATGTTAATGGAAAATTCCATTCTGTCATTTTGCAAACATTACGGGAATGTTACTTTTAAATATTTAAAATATAAATATTTTAATATATAAATATTTTTAATATTTTTAATATATAAAAAAACACCACACTCTGCCCTCTCCTGGAAAATCACTAATCACCTGAAGGATTTTTCATTTGAAAGATTTTTTTCTCGCTTTGTTTTTTTTGTGTTGAAATTGGGCGTTACGTATAATCTAGCTACATAAAAATGAATGTAATACATTTTTAAACATACTTTTTAAAACGTATTTATTTACTCATATAAAGGGCTGAAACTTACTTGAGCTCTCCTGCGTCCTGACGTCTCTCCGCGCGTCCTGATGCTTCCCGTTGAATTTGGAGGAATCCAGAATGTCTGCGATGGAAAAGGAGGTTTTTCCCTGCAGTGCGGAACTGGTTCCTTCACGCATCCTGACAGTCAGTTCCAAGAGCAGCAAGTAAATGTGTCCGTATAACTTCTTCAGTACGACTGTGATATCTGACTATCTCTCCGCTTATATACACCTCAAACAGACACGTGTAAAATTAACATGTTAAAGGACCTCAGTGTGTTTAAACCAAACCTTTAAACTCCTCCTTTACACACTTTAACATTTGAATGTGTCTCAGTGGGTGACACGTTTCCTTTGCTATTTATTGCCCTGCATCTGGTTAAAATGTGCCCTTTTCTGAAGAGCCGTGTAGTTTTTTGTATCAGTGCTTGTCGTTATTTGCAATTGTGTGATTTTTACGGTGGTCGAGCGCGTGAGAAGCTGTTGTTATGCTAATTAATCGACTAAAGCAGGAAAGTTCTGAGGTGAACATGTTTAAGTTAAATTAAAATAAGAAAATGAGAATAGATTAGATAGGAAAAAAGGTCAAATTATATTAGTGCCGTCGAATCGGTTATATAAAAGTATATGAATGTGTGTGTGTACACATACAAACCTGTATGTTATATGTGATTAATGGCGATTCATCGATTTGACAGCACTTATAAATATGTTTCTCGAATAAAAAGAAGTAATTTTGATATTTTCTACAGAAAAACAACAATTTGCATCATTTAATTGAAGGTACTTCCTTCCTCACTAAAAAAAAAAAAAAACATTTCGAAATGCTTTACACTTTGTACCTGGGAAAGTTAATTGTTTTAAAGAGATGGTTCACTTTGAAATTAATTTTTGGTATGTTTTAGCTTACCTCAAGGGCATCCATGATGTAGGTGTCTTTGTTTCCGCAGTATTTTCAATTTTGATATTTTTAGGTCAAACCATTCTTGTCAGTCATATAATGCAGGTCTATGGTCACCACCTCAAAGAGCATGCACAGAGAAGTCCAAATTAAACATGATCTAATGACTCGTAAATGGCCTAAGACACGAAACGATCGGTTTGTGTGAGAAAACAAACAGTATTTATATCGCTTTTACCTCTTGTAAAAGGTAACATAGCAAAAAATAACTTCAATTAATTAATTTCAAAGTGAACTATCCCTTTAATTGGCATATTAATTTCTAAAAAGCTTGTCTGCATGCAGGTAACAAAGGTTGCAGAAGCAGTTTTATGTTGCAACATCTAAAGTGTGCTCCTCTCCACCTTGGTGAGTTGTGTGCACAGTGGGAGCATTTAGACAAAGGCTTTATGATGTTGTAAATAATCCCCAAAGCCTCCAGAGGTGGCCCTCCACGGCAGCTGCCAGGCGCCAACGCCAACTATGCTTCTGGTATTCATTGAGCGAGGCTTAGCCGGCCCACCAGGACAATTAGCAGATGTCACCAGTGTCTCTGACCCTGCCTGACCTGTGTCTTTGTCCGGGCCGCTGAGGATGAGGAGGTGCACCAGCAAGGGTCCTGCTGAAGGAGTGTGCCTGGAGCTTTCCTGCTTACAGCTCAATTACACACGAGAAGTTCTCTAGTGGTGCTGTTGAAAACAGATTAACCTTATTAACCTACACTTCTTTCGGAGAGTCTTTTGAAGTTAAACACGTATAAATTATTGACCGTCACCACTAAAACCACAAAATCTAGAATTTTAGGGTTTTTAAGTCACATAAGATTTTGTTTCATTGGATACATGAAAATAATTACATCTGAAAATAAACTTGAACATTTAAACATTTTTTTAAAATAATTTTGTGCATGATACCATATATTTGCAATTGTGTGATTTTACGGTGGTCGAGCGTGTAAATGACTGTTGTGATACTAATTAAATCAACTAACGTCTTCCACAATAAAAGTTCTGAGGTCTCTGGAATAGCATGTTTAAATTCAACTAAAATATTTAAATAAATTAATATAAAAAAGTAATTATTATTATTGAATTTAGAATTAAACTAAATATTTAAAGTACAAGAGAAATATTATGGAATATTATTACAGTTTAGAATAACAGTTTTCTGTGGGAATATATTGTAAAATGTAATTTATTCCTGTGATCAAATCTATATTTTCAGCATCATTACTCCAGTGTTCAGTGTCACATGATCCTTCAGAAATCACTCTAATAAGATTTGCTGCTCAAGAAACATTTCTGATATTTTGTTCATATTTACAAATCGATTAATCACATTTTACAAAAGATTGTGTTTGTATAATATACACACACATATATACACTCACCTAAAGGATTATTGGGAACACCATACTAATACTGTGTTTGACCTCCTTTCTCCTTCAGAACTGCCTTAAATCTACGTGGCATTGATTCAACAAGGTGCTGAAAGCATTCTTTAGAAATGTTGGCCCATATTGATAGGATAGCATCTTCCAGTTGATGGAGATTTGTGGGATGCACATCCAGGGCACGAAGCTCCCGTTCCACCACATCCCAAAGATGCTCTATTGGGTTGAGAGCTGGTGACTGTGGCGGCCATTTTACTACAGGCAACTCATTGTCATGATCAAGAAACCAATTTGAAATGATTGGAGCTTTGTGACATGGTGCATTATCCTGCTGGAAGTAGCCATCAGAGGATGGGCACATGGTGGCCATAAAGGGATGGACATGGTCAGAAACAATGCTCAGGTAGGACGTGGCATTTAAACGATGCCCAATTGGCACTAAGCGGCCTAAAGTGTGTCAAGAAAACATCTCCACACCATTACACCACCACCACCAGCTGCACAGTGGTAACAAGGCATGATGGATCCATGTTCTCATTCTGTTTACGCCAAATTCTGACTCTACCATCTGAATGTTCAACAGAAATCGAGACTCATCAGATCAGGCAACATTTTTCCAGTCTTCAACTGTCCAATTTTGGTGAGCTCTTGCAAATTGTCGCCTCTTTTTCCTATTTGTAGTGGAGATGAGTGGTACCCGGTGGGGTCTTCTGCTGTTGTAGCCCATCCGCCTCAAGGTTGTGTGTGTTGTGTCTTCTTCACAAATGCTTTGCTGCATACCTCGGTTGTAACGAGTGGTTATTTCAGTCAAAGTTGCTCTTCTATCAGCTTGAATCGGTCGGCCCATTCTCCTCTGACCTCTCGCATCAACAAGGCATTTTCGCCCACAGGACTGCCGCATACTGGATGTTTTTCCTTTCTCACGCCATTCTTTGTAAACCCTAGAAATGGTTGTGTGTAAAAATAAACAATGTCATGTGTATGTTAGGAATTATTCATTCCATCTAAAAAATGTGCTAATCTATTTTTATTTATTTATCATTTTGTCAATGATAGCATGCGATATGATTGTATTTTTGAGTTAGATTTTTACAAAGTGTTGATTCAGAATAAACCCATAAGGGGTCATTCTGTCTGTATGTCACAGATGGCCAACAATACATCAGTGAGATGGACAGAGAAAACAGCATGTAGGAACAATCCTCTTTTACATGCCATCAACAAGGCAATTCTCTCCGCGGGCGTCTGGCCTCTCTGCGTAACAACAGTCCATCACTTAACTGTCCTGCCGTTTCAGAGGAACAAAAGGATGTTTTAGTAGTAATAGATGTTTAAACCGTGTTTTACAGGTTTACGATGGATCTGATGTCCACTGTGTATTGAAAAGAAAGAGACACTGATTTGTGGAAATAGTTTGTTTGCATCATGTTCAAGCATCTGTCCATACAGGAAGAAACTATGAATTTTTTTACTCTAAACACTTGTTTTAAAATAAATAATTTAAAAAAAATTAATTTAATTTAAACAAAATTTATCTTGATCAAATAATTAAAAAAAAATATTTACAATGAAACAAGTTTGATGACAAACTTTGATGTTGGCTTGACAAAGACAGGTCTGAAAGTTTAAAATAGCATCAAGTTTGAAGGTTTTACTAAAAAAAAATTGTAAAAAAAAAAAAAAAAAACAACAACATGTTTTAACCATGGTTTTAACATGGTGTTAGCATGATTTTATACACTGCTAACATGTTTTAATACATTATGTAATTTAACATGTTGCTAGAATATTATCATGTTGTTAGCGTGATTTAACACATTGTTAGCATTATTATCATGTTGTTAGCTTGATTTAACACATTGTTAGCATTATTATCATGTTGTTAGCGTGATTTAACACATCGTTTGCATGTTTTAGGATGTTGCTTGCATGATTTAACACTTTGCTAAGATGACTTAGCGTTTTGCTAGCATTTATTAGCAGGTTTTAACATATTGCTGACATGAATTATCATGTTTTTAATGTTTAAAATGTGTGTTTAAAATAATAAAAAGTCTTTACAATACAAAACACAAATAAATAAATAACATTGAAGGGCAAACAACACATGGTTTAAAAAGATAAACAGTGTTTTTTAAAAAATTAATATTAGGCCGATACTAGAGCTTTCCACAGTAATTCAACATTTGTCCGACAGGTGTCAGTGTGCGTGAGACCACAGGGTGGATCACGGACAGTATGGCAGCGATGAAGCTGCTGTGTTATCGCGATATTTGAATCTCTGGTCGTCATATGAAAGATGGCTACTGAGGCGCGTTCTGCGACTGAGAGAGACACAGCAGACGGGTGAGAACCAATTAAAACACACTTTATTCAACGAAAACACTGATATTGAGTAATTAAACACATATACAGATCTATAGCGCATCTCTGTTTTATTAATAGCTATCGCTTTAACGCATAAACACCATTGCAGCAATCGAGTCAAGTGTTACAATGAGATAGTGTTTTCACGATGTTTCGTCTTATTTATTTGAAATTTGTCCCCTGTGATCTTTAATTTGACGTTTATATAATTAACATACTGATAGTTCTTTCTGCAAATAAACGTGATATTACATTATTTACCCTAAAGGTCCTTGCCAAAACAAAAGATTCGTTACTCTGACTGAGTTTTATTTAATTCATTCATCCGACCTCTGTTGTGATTTGCATGCTGTCATTCATCAGAGCTGGATAGTAAATAGAGCTGATGATCAACTGTATACAGTATACTAAAGATATATAACGTTAGATGTCAGTGGTGTTGATATGTAAATGTGGGCTGTGATGTGTGGATGAGCTCGTGGTTATGATATGGTAAGTTACTGATCAGTTCTGGGAGTTTTTATTTCTCATATTTTGTGTGTGTGTGTTTTTGCAGCGATTCTTCATTTGGAGATCTGAACACAAACATGGAGACTGAGTCTTCCAGTGGGAAAGATACAATGGTATTGTGTTGCATACATGATGAATTGTTCTTGTGCATTTAACACGCATAACTTCTCTTATTGTGTATGATTTTCTCTATTTTACATTGTTTATCTTCTTAACTGCTATTTTTGTATTTATATATTTTTAGTTTTCATTTAAATTTTAGTTTTAGCGATTGTTTATTTGCTTTAGTCATTAATATATGTATATTCATATTTATGTAGCTTTAATTAATTTCAATTTGAGTAATTTTACTTTAACAAACTTAATTATTTTAGTTAAGCTAGTTAAACGTTTTTTTTTTGTTTAAAATTTTTCATCTAATAATATATGTTTTATTTCAGCTTTCTTTCAATTACTGATTTTTTTTATTATTATAATTTTCTTTCTTTCTTTTTTTTACAATAATACCACTGCTTCTTAATTCCTTTAATGAAATCAATTCCCCATGGATAATTAAGTCTAAAATTTTGTATGTAAAAGTCCTAATACCTCATTGAATATTCTGTGTCACTTGGAAATCTCAAGTCACCTTTATTTCTATCACGCTCTACACGATACAGATTTTCAAAGTAATAAAAAGGAAAATGATAATTCATTGATGCAAACAGTATTCAATTCAATTTTGCTGTA